GCCGGCCCTGAGCCAGTGCTACCAGCTCAGCACCTTCAATTTTTTGGGGAACGGCATCTCCATGGCCATGATGGAGGAGCTCGTGGAGCACACAGGCAGCCTCAGTGCGCTGAGAGTGGAGCAGTACCCAGCTCCCCTGGAGAGTTACCGCACCCAGGGCATCGCCCACGCGCCGAGGTTTTTCCAGCACTGTGCGGAGCTGTTGCGCAGGCTGCAAAGAAGAAGACAGCCTAAGCAAGTTTTGTTCAGCACTGTCCCCTGCTCTAATTGTTCACGATGGATGGTGTTCGGCCTAAAGCTCCGTAAGTGGTGTGAGTGCTACTTGCAGGACTAATTGTGTACACAAGCCAGATCTTCCTTCCGGACACTTGCAGCGAGGAGCTGGGATGGGGGTGGGCAGGACGGGCTGAGACTCTAGCTGCAGCATGCAGGGGCAGAGCAGCCTGGGAAGAGGGACTTGCCAGGCCCAGGGTTGGTGTGAGTGAGGAGGGTTGCTGGGACAGTTGGCATGGGATGATCTGGTCAGAGCCCAGGTTGTTCTTGTGTTTTCATGTGGAGTAGGCTAAGTGTGGCATTCCATGTTCTGTTCTCAACATTGCATTGCCCTCATGGCAACAAATAAAACATGTTAATGCCAGTCTGATGTTGTACATCTGATCAACCTCCAGGATGCTCCCCGCTGGTTTTCCAGTGGAAACTTCAATATTCTTGAGGGATACAACATGCCCGGATATCCCTGGCTTCGCTGCAGTGCCAATGCAGAGGGAGTGAGCCCATGCCAGGACACCCTGAGGTCCATGAACACAGCTGATACCTCAGGGCTGGCCTCCCTTTGACCAGATCAAACAAAGCAGGCCCCACTCAGCCTCAGACCCAGGCCACCTGGGTGCAGCTGCACTGCTCCAAAGGAAACACTGGCCCCTGTGTGACAAGGAGGGTCTGTGAGGAGCAGAGGCCGCACCAGGTGCCCACCCTGCACTGCTCCTCCTTGCCTTGGGACTGCCAGGCATCAGTCCCCTGGGCAGCTCAGGAATGCAGCCAGCCCTGGTTCTGGCTCCTTGTTCCACAAAAATATTTGTAACAGTTTTTAGACAATTATTAATTTGTTTCAATGACAGACTTAGGGAAACAGAAATACTGAGAGACAGATGTTCCTTTTGCTGGTTCACTCCCTAAGCAGGTATTGTGGGCCTAAGCCGGGCCAAATCTAGAGACCAAGAGCTCCTGCTGGGTCTTCCATGTGCGTGCAGGGGCCCAAGCAGTCGAGCCTCCTTGCACTGCTTTCCCACACATCTTAGCAGGCATCTGAAGAGAAAAAACTCGGTGTTGAATCAGTACCCATTTGGGCTGCTGGCATTGGAGGAGAGAGCTAAAGGTCTACCTGCTGATTGATTCCTCAATGGCCTCAAAGGCCAGGCCTGTGCCAAGCCGAAGCCAGGAGCCAGAGCCTAGCTTGCTATGCCACAATACAATAGTCTCCCCCAGTAGATTTTAATTGCTCAAACTCTGTCTTCAAGTTGTGGCTTGACCCTGAGATTCACTTGTCTTATATGTCTTAGCTCAGAGTACGAAGAAGAAATTCAGAATATAGAACATTCAAGTTAAGGAGAGAACCCACGTGTGTGTGAATTTCAGAGCATCAAACCTACATACAGGGTTAGGTACGGCAGACTAGAGAAGTCCTCACTTTGCAAGTACCAGGACCCATATGGGTATTGGATTGAGTCCCGCTGGCCTTGCTTCCCATTCAGCTCTCTGCTTGTGGCCCGGGGAGTTCAGTTGAGTACAGCCCAAAGCTCGGGATCCTTCACCTGATTGGGAGACCTGGAAGAAACTCCTGGCTCCCAGCTTCACGTAGGCTCAGCTCCGGCTATCATGGAGTGAATCATCAGATGGATATTCTTTCTCTCTGCCTCTCCTCTTCCTTGTATAGCTGACTTTTCAATAATCTAAATCTTTAAAAAACAAAAGAAAGAAAAGAAAAGCCAGGCCTGGCGCCATGTCCTAGTGGCTAAAATTCTGGCCTGAAATGTGCCAGGATCCCACATGGGCCCTGGTCCTAACCCCAGCAGCCCCGCTTTCCATTCAGCTCCCTGCTTGTCTGGGAGTTCCGTCGATGATGACCCAAAGCCTTGGGACCCTGCACCTGATTGGAAGACCTGGAAGAAGCTCTTGGCTCCTGGTTTCACCTGGGCTCAGCTCCGGCTATCGCGGAATGAATCATTAGATGGAAATTCTTTCTCTGCTTCTCCTCCTCTCTGTATATCCGACTCTATATGTATTCCGACTCAGCCATCAGAATCTGTCTCCACCTTCCTGTCAGTTTCAGAATCCATCTGCAATGCCCTGTTCCTGCTTTGCCTTCATGTGGAAGAGGCTCCAGGCTCCTGGCTTTAGATTGGCTCAGCTCCAGATTTTTCAGCCACATGGGGAGTGAATCAATGGATGGAAGATCTTCCTCTCTGTCTCTCTTCCTCTCTGTATATCTCAGTTCCCAATAAAAATAAATAAATCTTAAAATCAAACAAACAAACAAAAAACCCCCACTCCTTCAGTGTCAATGTCACGGCCCACTGTTGCCAACATTACATACGAACATAGGTTCAAGTCCTGGCTGTTCTACTTCCACTCCAGCTCCCTGCGATGTGCCGTGGAAGCAGCAGAGGATGGCTCAAGTGCTTGGGAGACCTGGACTTCCTGTCTTCTGGTGCAGCTTGGCCCAGCGGCAGTCACGGCAGCCATCTGGGGAGTGAGCCAGCAGATGGAACGTCTTTCTGTGACTCTGCCTTGCAAATAAACAGATGACATTCACACAAATCAATCAATCCCTTTCATTGACTCCCATCCCTTCCAGGTGCCTCGTTTTTTCCCCTCACAATAAAATCTCTGAGAGAACTCTCTGTCCTCTTTCTCCCACTTCTTTGGCCTCATGCCCACAGGCTTTCTTTGGCAGCACCCACCAACATGCTCAGTTTGCCGCCAGCTGCCTTGCTAGGGCAGGGCTGCTCCTGAGAGCTTGGAGGTGCCCGAGGCCAGGAGGGCACAAGCCTTTCCTCCTCCCCCTCAGAGCCTTCAGGGCTCACTGCACCAGCTGCTCCTCTGTATTCAGTCCAGCTCTGGCCGCCATGGGCACTGACGCAGTGACTCAGCACGAACGAGCTGGCTGTGAAACAAAAGAATTTTGTGCAAGTAGTACCCCATGAGAGATCGGTACTAGAAAATCTGTTTCCTGCATATGTGGGCCACATCTTTCTGGAGCGCTTTGATTGGTGATACAGCAAATTATTTGGGTCTCCCATTCTGCCTTAATCTTCATTTTGTGATGGGTTCTGAGAGCCTGGTGCAGTAGCATAGCAGCCTAATCCTCCACCTGTTGCACCAGCATCCCATATGGGCACTGTTTATGTCCCAGCTGCTCCACTTCCCATCTAGCATCCTGCTTGCGGCCTGGGGAAGCTGGCTGTAGAGCCTGGCCTGGAGTGTTGTTCAACCTGCCCTTCTTCTCATCCTTTGAAGAGGCACTCGAGGTCCTCTGATGGCTCAGATGAGCTGGCTGTCTTATCTTTAGTGTGTATCTAGGTACGTTCTCTATTGCACAGGTGTCAGAAACTGAGGTGGCCCAGCCCTGCAACCTGCACTCCAGGGTTGGACCACATGTCTGAGATTTCCTCCGAGGTCAGGGATCAAGCATGAAGGTTCTGTTGGGGAGTGCCCTAAAAGCCTTCCCTGGGAGGTTCCCAGACCTGGCTCTCGTGTGCACTAGCTGGTGTAGGGTGGGGTTTGGCCCGTTTCCTTCACCAGCCACTTACTGTTGAGAGCAACTGGGTGGCCAGTCCTGTTCCCCACACCAACTTTCAGAACTGGTGGGTGCTGCACCCACATTCATCCCAGCCTACCCCCTGTCCAGCTCAAGCACACACAGGAGAGTGCTGTGGTCCCGCTGGGGTAACCCTGAAGAACCACCAGACCTGCCCCCAACCCTGGTTTCTGTACATGCTAGTGGCTGCTGCATTCCAGCCCACTGTGGCTCACTCCCAGCCTTGGGTCTCGTAAGCACTAATAAAATGTTCAGTTCAGCAGGGGCCTCCCCAAAGTTCCCCTACTAAGGCTGCCCTCAGCTCTGATCTCCATCCTTGCTGGCAGGTATTGCTGCCCAACTTAGCATGGCCCACCTGCAGTCCTGGCACTTACTGGCAGGTGGTGTGACCTGGTCTGGACTGGCCTGACCCCAGTCCTAACTTTTGCCAGCAGGTGCTGCAGCCTAGCCTAGTCCAGTCCACCTCTAGCTCCAGCTGTGTGTACTGGTGGCTGCTACAGCCTAGTAGGGGCAACCTAAAGAACCCCTACCAGGGCCACCTCCATGCCTGTTTCTCACAGGTACTGGCGGGTTTGGCAACTCAGGCCAGCGTGGCCCATCCCCAATCCTATGAAACCATAGGTGTTGGTGGGTGCTGCAGCTAGCCCATTCTGGCCGCAGCTTTCATGCATATGCTGGAAGGCACAGTAGTCCAGTTGGAATGACCCCAGACCTACCGTGGGTGCTGCAGCCTAGCTTGGCCTGGTCTGCTCCCAGCCCTGGCTTCTGTGCACACTCCAGGGAGGTCCTCTAATATCCCCCCTCTCATCTTTTCCCAACTGCCCACTGGTACAGTAGCCTAGTCTGTGGAAGCACCCAGAAATCACCCTATACATGTCAAATAAGCCCTCAGTGGCACCCATCCTGATCTGTCCTCAGAACCCTCCCCGCCGTGTGGCATGATGGGGCTCCTGGTTGGGGTGGTGTGGTGGGCACCCAGCCACCGGCTAGGTGGGATGGGAAAACTTGCAAAGAAACAGCATCCCAGCAGCTTTGAGCGTGCGCAAAACTGTTCTGAGTACAGAAAGGAGCGTGTAGGTCAGGCGCCACGGCTTCTGAAAAGAAAACATTACCTCTGCAACATGAGAAACATTCTGCACGACTCACTTGCCCAGGGCGCAGGAACAAACACACGAGAAGTGTCTGCAGACGCACTCTTTTCACCTTTATTACTGTTTCCTCATTCACTAACAGTTCTGTGGTGCAAGGTTACCGTACACAGATGATGTCTGCACTGCACAGCTAAGGCTACGCAGCCGGACCCAGGTTAGTACAAATACGAGAACTGTATTTACAATCTGTATACTCAAGCTCCCAACATCAGATCGTATTTACAAAATAAAACATGAAAATGAAAATCCCCAACCAATCATGTACATTGTTGCTAATGTGCTCAGCTCCATGGGGGAGATGGGTCGCGAAGTCCTTGGTTCAGAAGGCCACTTACGCTTCACGGGCTCGCGGGAGGGCACGCGGACGGGACGAGAGACTTGCATCTCGACAAGGACTTCAGAGCCATGGAGTCTAGGACGATGCCTGACACAGGAGGAGGCTGGTGGAGCCCTCAGGTGAGCTGATGCGACAATACGTGGCATGGAGACAACAAATGAACTCGAAGACATGAGTGACAGCACACAGCGGCCAGGGCCCGACAGGAGACTGCCCTCAGCTCGGACGTCCTGTCTGTGGGTTTGTAACATGAACTTTCAATCAGCTCTAATTTCTTCCTCTGCATGACTGATGGCTTTTCTAAGGTTTTCAGCTCCAATTCTAATTTCATAAATGGTCTTTTGAACAGCAGCAGCAACCCATCTCTCAGCGGATACATTCGTTTTCCCAGGCAGACACAGAGAATGTATGCGTGCCCCCCTTGGGCGGCTGTGGCCCCCACACCCAGGTGAGTCCTTCTGCCGCAGCGAGGGGGCTGGGGGAGCAAGGGCATGCAGGGGGACAGGTGCAGTGCAGCGCCTCTGCACACACTCCCCAGGCCCTCTGCACACACTTCCCAGGCCCTCTGAGAGCAGTACACAGTTAGTCTGTTCTTAGTAAGGAGCAGGTTAACATCACAGCTTAAAAAGGAAATCCAGGGGGTATGAAACACTCAAGTCAGAACATAGGCAAGCGCAACCCCGTCCGGGGAAGCCCGGGAGAACGCAACCTGGGGGCAGAGGAGCCGAGCATGTGCTGCCAAAGCCACACCCACACACGTGTGCTCCCTTGCACACACATGGACTCCCACACACGTGCACTCCCCCTGCACACATGCCCCTTGCACACTTGAGTGGCTCTGGAAGACTGCCAGGAGCAGTCCTCTTGCTATCAGAAAAGCTCGCATTTCCTTCTTCCTCTTAAGCAAGCAAGGAACCTTCAGGAATCTGAGTGGCTCTACAGTCCTGGCTGCTGTGGAACTCTACCCAACGACACTCGTTTTCCAGTTGGGGTAGCTTGGCTTCCCTGGCCTGTGCCTCACTGAGCAGTGGGCTGGGTTGCAGGGCCCACTGGCCTGCAGAGGCGCCCTGCCTGCTCCTGGGTGCAGGGCTGGCTGGCCCGCAGAGGCCTGAGAGCTGGCTGACTCCCAGGCAGCTGCAGAGGCAGGGCAGGTGGCACTCCGAGGCGGATTTGGTGAGGCTGTTTTACTCTGGTGGAAGAAAAGCAAGTGAGCGTTGGGAGGAGAAGGAGATTTTTTTATTAGCATTTATTTTTCTTTAATTCATATCACTCATGCACTTCATTGCCTTATTAAAGGAGTGCTTTCAGAAAAGTTAAATTTAAAAATAATCAAAATTAATGTAATAGAAGTAAAAATCACCTTAAAAGGTGGTTTTTGTGACGGTCGGACCTCTTTGCTTTTTCATCACTGTGGCTGCAGCCACAGCCTCCTCAGAGTTTTCTCAGCCACTGTCCCACAGTGCCACTTCAGCACCTGTGTCAGCTCCATGTTGGAAATGTGTCCCTAGAAAATGCGGGCACATGGAGTGGTCTGTGTCTGGTAGCCACGCCTCTCCTTGTGTGGGGGTGCAGACCTGCCTGGGTGTCCCTGCAGGACACGACGCTCCCCACTCGGGCACGTTATGTGCAGCCAATGCAGTGTGGCATGTTTGAGTGTCTCACTCTTCCAAAGCAAAGACGTTCGTGCCAGTGTGGAGTCAGAAGACATGCCAGCGGCACTGCAGGGTGCCACAGCCCCTCGTACCCCCTCTGCCTCCCACCTCCCCACATGGGTCCTAAGAACAGCATCGTGACTCACTTGCAAAGTAACCCTCTGAAGGGAGATCTGATTCCAGGCCAGCAGTGCCTTGTGGCACAGACAGGCCGGCTGGACGTGTGTGGTCTGCAGAGGGCATACTGTAACCATGACACGGGAGGAAACCCCTAGCTACGTTAAACACGCATGTGTGCTTAGAAAGCAATGCACTAACTCTTCGGGACTCATGGTAGGGGAGCAGACAACAGTGTCCACAGATCCAGCCCAAGCCACTGCTGACCTCTGGTGAGGGTGTGCAAGTCACCAGCATCGGGACGCTGCGCTTCGGCACCTGCTGCCTCCTCCCGGCGCAGTGAACACCAGAAAGCAGCTGCAGCCTGGACTTCTGAAAGAAGCCACCTCATGGGCTGGACACGAGGGCAGAGCCCTGGGCAGCGCAGGGCAGAACACCCCCAGCCGCCATGCTCCAAGCCATCTTGGTGCCTTCCATGTCAGGGGTGGGGCAAGCAGATCCCTTCTGGAGGCCAGGGCGATGGTCAAACTGGGGAACTGGGGAAGTCAGGATGGCATAAAACCACTCCGGATAGCTGGTACCCTGGCAGCCCCGTTCTTCCTGTACCCATCCTGGAAAATTCACTGACGGCAAAGCAAAAGGCATCTCAGCGGAGAGCTTCCTCCTCTCTCCTGGGGTAATGGCTCTGCACTAGATGGAGCGGCAGGAGAGAGGAGGAGTTCCAGGCAGGGGACGGTGCCAGCCCCAGGGACGTGTGTTTGCTTTTGCCTGGAGTGGGGGCAGGGTGGGGGCAGAGGGAGCCTGCTTCTTGAGTTGGGGTTGGCAAGCGGCCTGGCAGTTGACCACGGGTTTGGAGGCAGGCTTCCCAGCGGACACTCGGAGGGCAGTGACACCATCTCAGAGGTGCCACCCAGCAATCAGTTCTAAGATCGGCCAGAGACATCACGCCAGGAACCCTTGGCAGACTCGTGTGACACTGTGTTAACTAACCTATGGCACCGCTGCCAGCGGCCAGGCAGAACAGGATGCTGTTGAAGAGCAGGGCAGCGCTCAGGGACCCCGTGGGAGGGGCCCCAGGCTCCCGCTGCCCACTACCCACTGCCCTCGTGACCACTGCTTTGTCTGTGGCCTCTCAAGTCCTCTTTCTTGCACCAGGAGTGCAGCAGCCAGCAGCCCGGGCCATGCAGGTCTCTTCCCTTACACTGAGGAACATTCCATGACTCTGCTCTAAGAAGTTCAATTTTGACTGGCAGAATACAACTGTTGCCTTTCCAAGCTCACGGCAGCCTTTTCTCTGAACAGAGGTGCAGGAAGTGGCCATGGCAAAGAGATGGGGGAGGGGAGGAGGAGGTTTTGTTCTCTCAGGTTCTTACAAAGCCGGACGTGTCTCTAAGCCACCCAAGAACCATGACAGTGACGTCACAAACAGAGGAAAGAACCACGAGCGAGTTGTTGCCTTGAAACACAAAGGTCTCCAAAGCCAGCAGGACAGACATCGGAGTGGTGCTGAGGGAGGCCCATCGTACAAGAGGAAGCCAAAAGACACCAACAATCACGGGGAAAGCCGGCAGCCCCTCGGGGGTCCCGTGCGTGCTGTGTGTCTGTGTGTAAATCTTGTTCCTTTTGTTGGGCCACATGCTACTAACACGAGTCTCAGCACTGAAGAACACAGGGCAGTGGCCACGCACACACGAGCTGGCACCAGTGGGGGGTGAGGGGGCAGCAGTGAAGCCACAGGTGACACGGGAGAACCCAGCAAGAGTCACAGAGAGAGGTAACACTTCCTTTATCACCCAAGGCGAGTGAGGGCTCCCGCAGTCGCTCAGTACTTCAGCTGGCTTGGGCATCTGCGGGACAGCTTAGACCTGGGGCGACAGACGAGGGGCAGAGTTAGAACGTGGGATCGGGGGCTCCTTCCCTCACAGCCCTTTTCTTGGTAGCTCCTCCGACTTGGCACAGCAGGCCCAGGTCTCCAGGGCCTCTGGAAACGCCGGCACCACAGGCCCCTCTGAGGACCTGAGGCTGAAGCACAGGGAACTCATACCTTCCCTCTACTCAGGCCTCCGAGCCCCTCGCAGGCCTGTGCAAGAGGAACAAGAGGGGGTTCACCCCTGCAATGCAGCCAAGTCTCCCCTGTAGCTGGGGACACAGCTGCTCTCCTCCCCGCCCTTTCAAACCCTTTACAACACTGTCCTTCCTCTTGGCGTGGGCAGCCCCGAGGCCAAAGACTAGCCGAGAAAGCAGAGGACAACTTCCCACCTTATTGTGCCAGCAAGAAGTGGGTTAAAGGCGTAGAGCCAGTCGTTCATGTCCTTGTCGCTGAGTGCCTGCAGAAGGACCCCGCGGTGTTTCGTGCACACGACAAAGGTGTTGGGTGTCTGGAAGGAACACAGACAGAAGTTACTGCAGGGACCACCCGGCCATGTCCACAGGACACACAGCACTGCGTAAAGGAGCCATTCCACAGCAGAAGGAATGGTGTGGGTGGCAATGGAAAACCAAGGCTGGGAAAGGCTGACCTTCACCATGGCCTGCTGGTCCTCGCTGTACTCCACCTGTGCCGTGGACAGGTTAATGATCCCACGCTCCACCGGGTCCTTATCACTGTTATAGATGAAGACATAAGGGCGACGGACCACGACAAAGTGTTTAGCCCAGTTGCTGGATAGCGGCTCCTTGAAATGCAGGTATCCTTTCTTTGAGACCACAGAGCTAAAAAAGACAGCCCCAAAGAAGCTTTACACAAAAAGGCAATCATGTGCTGAGAAGCAAGAAAAAATCTCTCCCACATCAAGGCTCCAAGGTTCCACCAAGCAGGCGAACGACCATGGCAACAGTCTCATTTGTGAAGCTGAGAGCCCTTAGTGCCACAAGCTGCTATCCCAGGACAGAGAAGCACGAGGGAGGGGCACAGCTGAGCGCTCGCTCAGGCCAGCTCTCTCCTCAGATTCAACACATGTTAGATGGAGGCAAGCGTGGTGGCATGGCACCCCATCTTGGAGCGCCAGTTCAAGTGCTAGCTACTGCCCTTCCAATTTGAGTATGTGTGCTGCTAAAGTAGCACTTCTGCTTCCAACACAGCTTCCTGGCCATGCGCCTGTGAGGCAGTGGAGGGCAGCACACTCCTGTGGGCATCCTGCATGGAGCTCCTGGCTTCCGGCTTCACCCTGGCCCAGTCCTGGCTGTCACAGGCATTTGCAAAGTGAATCAGCAGATGGAGGATCCCTCTTCCCCCTCCCTCCTTCCTTCTCCCTGTTTCTGTGCCTTTTAAATAAACGATGACTGCTGAAAAAATAAACCCAAAATATTGCATTTTTTAAGGTGTGCTAGACTGCATATACAACATTATAAAGGACCCGGAAGCGAGTGGCTCATGTTGGTGTTGTACCTGGTACTGGTCAATGCAGTACTCACCCGGGTCTAATTTCTTCAATATCTGGAACGAGATTGAGAAATTCATGTTTTCCTGCTCGGGCCAAATAGGGCGTTTCCACCACTGGGATAATCTGAAACTGCTCAAATTCTGGGCACGGACTAGAGGCCCGCGAATTAGCTTCTGGGGTCCTTGAAGAGAGAGAGGTTTAAGGTTGGACAGAGGTCCGGGGCACGGCTGTCCCTGCAGTGGGAATATGAGGTTTCTCCCTGGGTATCAGCTGTGAGCTCGGCTGGTGAGTGCTCAGCAGAGAGGACGAGCCACCATCACCAAGTCCACGCTGAACTTCCCAGGTGTCCTGCTTCAGGAGTTACAGGGGGCGGCCGCCGCTGACCACCAAGGCTGTCTCCCTTCCTGTCTGAAGCCTCAAAAACCCAGCCATCTGAAGTATGAGCTCATCCCTGCTGGGTGTCAGCTTCCCTGGGTGTGCTCCCCAGTGGCCAGGTGGCTGTCTGGCAATCAGAGAACCCTGATGGGGTGGGCTGTTGGTGCCTAGTCCCAGGGGGCAGATGTGTTCTGCTGACTCGGCCCAGCCCTATGGACTACAACGTGAACAGCAAACTCCCACATGCAGTAAGGTATCTTAGAGAAGTGCTGCCTAGGTATGTCTGATTTTTAAAGGCCTGCTTCTTCTACCTTATTATTTCTTGAATTAGGATATATCTTACAGTCAATGGCATGTTAAATTTAGTTGGCTTTCCTTCTCAGTAGCACATGAAATAATCCCTCACATTTGCCGGCACCCTAAATTTAACACACTGGCCTGGCTGTTCCTCTGTCTGCAGCCACATTCAACTGCATCAGGGTTGGCACAGTAAGATGGACAGGTCAGTGCAACCCAGGCAGGTTCTGACAGGTGACTTGCAATGCCTGGAGCTGGGCAGGAGTCTGAGAGGGCATTGCCAAAGAGTGACCTGATGGTGCGTCAGAGAACTGAGGCCTAATTTATTATTGATTCTCACCTATATATTTTGTTGTGGCATCATTTTCTCCCAAGTCATTCCAAAACATTTTTCCCAAGATGGGGTTTCTTAGGTCTGAAAATGTGACTGCGGTGAGGAGTGGGGGCAGGGACGGGATGACAGAACGAGCCAAAAGGGATGCGGAGCAGCAGACAAGGAGCAGTGACTCATGGGGCGTCTCTCCAGCCCTGTGCCTCCAACACGTGTGTCACCCCCGGCGGGGGTGGACCCTCTCCCACCCCTTAGGCTGGCTTTCTTGGTGCAATGGGGGTACTTACTTCTGATCCAAGGAACTGCTCCTTGATTCCACCAGGGAGGGGCAGGTGGAGGAGGGCGTAAGGGTAGCGCTGCTGAAACTGGACACGGAGGCGTCCCGGCCGATCGGAGAGATGTCCGACAGCTGGAGGAACAAAGGCAACTGGTGAGACGAGGTGGGAGCACGCTGCTCTGCAGTGGTGTCCTCCCTCAGCAGTGCCTGACAGCTCACCACTCCTCCACCACACCTTCGCCACATGAAGACGCACAAGGTCTTCAGGCAAACAGGCCTCCTCACACAACGAAGAAATAAACAGAAATGAAAGATGCTTTACGGCCTGAGTGTCCCATCAGGGACCAAGACGATGAGAGGCAAAACTAGCTTGTTATACGGCCACTGCCCCACCTGCCCACTCGCACAGGCTGCCTCACCTCTCACATACATCTGAGCACCCTCCATGGGGCAGGCGTTGGCATCCTAAGAAGGCAGAGGCCCTGCCTGCTTGGAGAAGGCGGAGGACAGGCTGGTCCCCCAAGACTTCACAAGGGCTGCGCAGGAAGGCTGTGCAGGATTCGCGAGCTTCCAGCTCTTCTGTGCTTGGGATGGAAGGCCACTCCAAGGTGACAACACTGGTGCAGAAAACTCAAAGCCAGGAGGGGGCCAACCTTGAGCAGAATCTGGAAGGAGGCTGCTCCGGGGCAAGTACTGGGGCTCGGAGGGCACTCCCTGTCTGAGCTCTGGGTCAAGCCCCAGCTGCCATGCTTCCAATCGTGCTCCCTGCCAATGTGTCTTGGGAAAGCAGCCCAAGACAGCCAATGTAGTTGAGTCTGTCCACCCCCCCTGTGAGGTCAGGAAGGAGTTCCTGGTTTCTGGCTTTGGCTTATACTAGAGCAGGTAATTGTGGCCACCTGGGAGAGAACAGTGGCTGGAATCTCTCCACCACCTCTCTCCCTCTTCCTTTTAAATAAATGGATAAAAATCTTAAAGAAAAAAAATAAAAGAAGGATACTCCAGGCAAAGAAGCAGTCAGCAGACACAACCCTCAGGCAAGGACCAGCAGGATGGTCAGGCTGATCAGATGGAGCGAGCGAGACTGAAGCTCCCTGAGAGTCTATCTCACACCTTGCTGAGGGCAGCACGACCTTCTGCCCCCAAGAACCTAGGCATTCCTGGGCCCCAGCCCCCAGAACCACATGACACTGCCAAAGTAGGCGCCCCCGTCAGTCACACACATTATCTTCAGAAGTCAGCACTCCTTCTCTGAGAAACTACAGTAAATATCAGCTGTTCAAATGCAATGCAATGCCCTTCTAAAGCCACCGAAAAGCAGTATCATTTGGGAACAGAAACCTGAGCTGCTGTGGAGAGATCGAGCACCCACTCACTGTGTGAAGCGCTCACCTTGCAATCGCTGATGCTGCCGTGCACCCGGGTGAATTCTCGGTTGAAAGTGTGGGTGAGAAGCTGCAGGCACTGGAGGAGAGAGGGGAGAGCAAGTCACACGGACCATCACATGAGGCATGGGCAGAACGGCCGGAAAGGAGCAGACCCGCTCACGTGTTGAGCAGTTTGAGAGGGCACTGTCAACAGTGACTAGGATGGTGAATCCTGGAATCTAGGCCAAGTTTATTGATAATTAATTCTTACCTATATATTCTATTGTAGAATCAAACAATTCTTTTCCAAGGTAGCTTCAGAACAGTTCCCTATAGCACGTGTCTCAAGTCCAGTACATATCAAGAAAGACCACAGGGGACAGTACTGTGCAGGGAAGTAGGGGCAGGGAAGGCACCACCTGCGATGCCAACGTCTCGTGTGGGCAAACGTTTGTCTGCCTGCTTGCTCCACTTCCACTCCAGCTCCTGGAAACAGTCTGGCAAGAGCAGGAGATGGTCCAAGAGTTTGGGCCCCATCATCCGTGTGAGAGACCTGGAAGAGGCTCCTGGCTCCTGGCTTTGGTCTGGCTCAGTCCTAAGGAGTCAACCAGCAGGCGGAATGGCTGGCTCCAATTTTCTCTTTCGCTTTGACTTTTAAATAAATAAATAAATTTGTAAAATTTACAAGAAAGATAATAAAACCATATGGATATTTTGAAAAGACGTATTTGGATTTTTCTTTTTAAAGACTTATTTGTTTTACTGAAAATGTTAGAGAGAGAGAGATGCAGAGGAGAGACCTTCCTTCTGCTGGGTCCCTCTCCAGACAGACACGATGGCCAGGACTGGGCCATGCCCAGAACAGGAGCCAGGGGCTGCACACAGGCCTTGCACGTGAGTAGCACGGGCCCAGCCACTTGGGTCATCTTCCACTACTTCTCTCAGGTCTTTAGCAGGAATGTGGATCAGAAGTGCAGTCATCAAGGAACAAACCAGCATCTCTATGGAATGCCAGCAACGGAGATGTCAGCTTTGCCCACTATGCCACAATGTCAGCCCCAAGCAAAGGGATTTACAAAGCCATTCTAAAGACTACAAGAGTGAATTACTGCAAGTGTCACTGTTTAGAAATGCTAAGAATGCCAAAGTATCCCTTCTCAGACTCTTCTGTACTAGAGGCAGGGGGCCTTGTGGGAGGATGCATTTTCCCAAATAAACCGGACCATCATTCAATGAAAACAAAACAGGGAGCCAGTGGAGTAGAGCATGTGTTAAACTGCCGTTTGCGACCTCGCCATTCCCTACCACAGCATCGGTCTGAGTCTCGGCTTTCTGCTTCCACTCTCGCTCCCAGCTAATGCATTTGGGAGGCAGCAGACGAGGGCCCAAGCACCTGGGACACTTTGACCATGGGCTAGACTCTGATGCAGTTCTGGGCTCCTGGCTTCATCTGGTCCAGCCCTAACTGTTGCGGGCATTTAGGAAGTGAACCACTGGATGGAAGGTCTCTTTGTCTCTCCCTCTCTGTCACTTTTTTTTGAAGATCGGGGAGCAGGCATTGTGGTACGCAAGCTAAGCTGTCTGCGATGCTGGCATCCCATGTCGGAGCAATGGTTCAAGTCCCAGCTGTTCTGCTCCGGATCCCCTCCAGCCACGTGGGAGGCCCACACGGAGTTCAGGCTCCTGGCCTAGTCCTGGCTCTTGTTGCCATTTCAGGAATTAGCCAGCAGATGGAAAATACCTTTCTCTCACTCTCTCTTTCTGGCTTTTGAATAAATAAATCTTGAAAAGCAAATGTTGGTACAACAGTGAAGATGCCTGCACTCCACTGGGAGTGCTGGGACTCGGGTCCTTGGCTCCACTCCACAACTCCTGCTTCAGGGAGCAGCAAACAAAGGGTCCAGGACCTGGTCCCTGCACCTGTGTGGGAGACACCTGGCTTTGGTGGCCTAGCCCAGCCATTGCCATTCACCAGCTACTGGGGGTGAACCAGTAGAGGGAGTTCTCTGTTTCTGCTTTTCAAGTAAATAAAACCTAGAAAAAAACAAAACTCTTCCCGTTTTTATATTTCCTCTTTAGTCAGTTGCTACTTGACGTTCCGCCTCAAAGAGCCTGTGGCCTCCCCTTCCGATTTCACTTCCTCTTTGCTCTGTGTGGAAGCCATGACTGTCTCTCACGGGACCACTACATGGAGGGCCCCTCTCCCAGTGCATCTCTGCGCCACAAGTCTATCGTCACAGCCAGAGAAAACTTTCTCTTCAAAAGAAAAACCAAAAAAACCCAAAAAACTTCATTATTTGAAAGGCAGTTACACACACACACACAGAGGCAGGAATGGAGATATTTTCCATTCTCTGGCTCACTCTCCAAGTGGCTGCCGCTGTGAGGGCTGGGCCAGGCCGAAGCCAGGAGCCTGCAGTGCCGTCCAGGTCTTCTGCTGCTGTCCCAGACGCATCAGCAGGGAGCTGGGTAGGAAGTGGAACAGTTGGGACTCGAACTGGTGCTCATCTGGAATGCCAATATCACAGGTGGTGGCTGAACCTGCAGGGCCGTAGTCAGGCCTCTGGGTCCTACTGACTTCCATCTGCAGTACTAGCACAGGCTTAAAGCAGAGGCCCTTCGAGACAGGCACTGAGAGGGACTCATCAGAACGCTCAGCAAGCCCTGCCCCTTGGTGGGCAGTGCAGCCAGGACGCCCACCTTGGTGGCCAGCTCCTTCTCCCGATCCACCAGGCTCTCGATGTCTGCCGAGTCGTAGCCGCTGCTCTCACTGGGGGTGACGGCGCTTTCGAAGGTGGTGCTGGACATCTGCGAGGAGATGCTAGTGGAGGTGCTCAGGGTCCCGCTGCTGAGGCTGGGTGACAGCGAGTCGCTCAGGGACTTGGGCACGCTGTCCCCGAGTCTCTCCCGCAGCAACAGGAAGTGGCGCGTTTTCTCCACCTGTGAAGAGGGACACTGTCGCCTCAGTGCACACAGAGCTCACTGAGACCCCGCGGGGGCCAGCCGGGGTGGGCGCGGGGTGGAGCCCGTGCTGGCAGCCCGCACCTCGTGGAGGAGCTCCAGCTTTTCCAGCTCCCACTGGTGCTCCAGGATGAGGCTGTCCCCACGAGGCCGCCAGCCGGCCAGGTTCTCCTCGCCTCGTACGTAGGCCACCGACGTGTCCAGCACCTTCCGTCTCCTTCTCTGCATGCCTAAGAAAAGGAAAAACCTCACTTTTCTTAGAGAAGAATTCATTACTGATGTCAGATCAGAAGGAATTAGTAACTCCTACAAAACACGGCAAACTGAGTCGGTCTGGTCTCAACTGCAGGGGATTCTGTTTGTTTGTTTATTTATTTATTTATTTATTTTTAAAAATCATGCCTCTCCCCCAAACAACTCTGATTTTAAAAATTAAGTTTTAATTCATTTATACACTATGATTCCAAATACGCAAAAAGACACTCACATTAAGAAAGTGAGAAGAGATGCCCCTAGCCGGAGCTCAGAGGCAGGTAGGTGACGGACGGCTTAATCCCCATCACTCCACTAGTTTTTCTTATTTTTGCTTTTCAGATTTATTTGAAAAGCAGAGTTATAGACAGTGAGAGAGACACAGAAAGAAGGAGTAAGGGAGGGGTAGAAGGGAGGGAGAGAGAGGGAGAGAGGCAGGGAGGAACGATGGAAGAGGGTGTGGGTGGAGAGAGGAGAGAGACCTTCAGTTGGCTGGTTCATGCTGCAAATGGCTGCAATGGCTGGGTCCAAGCCAGGAGCCTGGAACACCATCAAGTCTCCCAGGCGGACGGTGGGGTATGCAAGCCCCTGGGCCATCCTCCACTGCCTTCCCATTAGCAAGCACTTCCCCCTCCACTCCCTGCATGCTAGACGATGGATCAGAGGTGGAGCAGCCAGACTTGAACCCCAGCTCACATGGGATCCCTGTGTAGCACAGTAAGGGTTAACCCACTGTACCTTAATTCTGGCCCCCTCTATTTGCTTTTTGAAATGTCATACTGGTTTTAAATGAGAAATATGAGTTTGTGCTGATTCTAAGAATTCTGAAGGGACTATGTGGACATTTATAACTAGCTGCTAATAGGACTTGGACCCAAATGCAAAGTCATTTTCATTTCTCTAACTCCCACCTGTAGCTCCATATATGTTTGCTAAAGTGACTCAAACTCACACTAATCAAATGTTATGAGAAGCCTGACTTCTGCTCCCGCTCCTGGTTCCAGACAGACGGCTGCCGAAGCCCACCGGGCTGCAGGAACTGTACAGCTCCCAGACACAGAAACGAACAAACCTGACATGCTCATGCTTTTTTGCAAGAATGCAGGCTGCCGCCAAAGTCTTTTGTTTGTTTGTTTTAAAGGCAGATTTTAGAGAGAAGGAGATACAGAGAGAAAGCTCTTCATCTGCTGGTTCACTCGCCATGTGGCTGCAAAAGGTACTCAGGTACAGGGTCCCAAGGCTTCGGGCCGTCCCCCACTGCTTTCCCAGGCCACATGCAGGGAGCTGGATGAGAAGTGGGGCTGCCGGGATTAGAACCGGCACCCATATGGTATGCTAGCACATGCAAGGCGAGGACTTTAGCCACTAGGCTATTGTGCCAGGCCCTTCCTTATGGCTTGCATAATCATTTTTTTTCTTAAACTTTTATTTATTTGAAAGAAATAGGGACCGAGAGAGGGAGAAAAGGAGAGCATTTTGCTTCTGCTGGTTTACTCCCCAAAAGATCCAGACCCATGAGGGCAGGAGCCTGGAACTCCATTCAGGTTCCCCATTGTGGGTGGAGGGGACCCAGACACTTGGGCCATTTTCTGCTGTCTTGCCAGGCACAAGGATCAGGGGTGGAGGAGTTGGGCTGACACTGGCACTTCCTTATGGGATGCCAGAGTCATTAGTTGCAGCTCACTGTGCTGTGCCCATGCTGGCCTCTTTATAACTATTTCACATATCAGAAACCAAATTACTGCAACTCTGACCCACCACCAAAAACCTCAGTTGAGGGGCCAGTGCTGTGGTGGAGTGGATTAAATCCCTGCCTACACTCACAGCACCTCAGGCCCATCACTGTCCAGGGAAAGCAGCAGCAGAGGACAGCCCAAGTGGCTGGGAGCCCTGCCGCCTACGTGGGAGACCCAGCTGGAGTTTCGGTTTTGGCCTGGCAAAGTCCTGGTCATTGTAGCCATTTTAAGGAGTGAACCAGCAGATTCAAGATTTCTTTTTGTAACTCTGCCTTTTAAATAAATAAATCTTTAATTTAAAAAAAAATCTGACTTGTAAAACACACTTAGCTCCTATGCGATTTTACACCCGTGCCTCCTCAGCTAGACGCTCTGAGACCTTATGTAATATACGCGTAACACATGCAGCGGTCACTACCCACCTTCCCGTCGCCCAAGAACTTACCTGGACTACCTGTGTCTGCTATCTTGCATAAGCTGAGTTCATAAATTCCAGTGACTCGATTGCTATTAAAAATAAAACAACCATTCAATTTCTTGTAGAACAACAGGAAAACCTCAATTCTTCCTAACTTAAAATACTGCCTCCTCTGTAGGACCTGCTTCCCACCTTAGATTTAACTGCAGACACTTATTAGTCACTATTCTGTTCCTATTCTAGACTTGACTAGATTTTATTTTTGCCTACAGTGAGCTGTTCTCATCTCAATCTTTTGGCCACTGGTGTTTCAACAGAATAAATAAACTAGAATGAGAAACTAGGAAATTTATAACACAAATACAAAAATTAAATGCACATATAAAAATTCATTTTCTTCCCATAAGACAGAAGAGATGAGAGGGAAAGTGTGACTGTAATAAAATGACAAATTCTGGGGGTTCCGAGGGAAGAGGAACCTCCTCCCTTTGTAGCATTAACAGTCCTGACACTGCGCAGCGGCGCACAGGCATTTACCATATTATTCTTAGCATATTTTGGTATATCAGAAATATGCACAATAAACCTTATACAGAGGCGATTCCTCTGGTCAACTGTTGTAAATGTAACAGTGTCACTGGAGAGAATATTCAGTCCCTCCAACTCTGTCTTGGAAGAGCTCACAGGTGATATTCCTTCATTCCCTCCTTAACTCAGCCGTACCATGCTAAATGCATTGTATCCCAGGTGAGAGTCACATGACAGTCACCAAGACGGCTCCTTGTGAACTCACTGTGGGCAGCACGCTGGGCACCTCCGAGGACAGAACATTCTGTGTGCTCAAACTTACGAGTCCGGCGACTTGGAGTAGCCACTGCCGAATAGGCTGCGCAGTGAGCGCGGTGGGGAGATCCTGGCGTCCCGGGAGTAGAAGACCATGCACACGTCCTTGGTAACGACGGCTGGCTGGATGCAGTGGTCCAGCTGCGAGCAGACGGGCAGGGATGCTGACTGTGCCATGAGCCTGCGTCCCGGGGCAGCAAGGACTCCCACAGCCACTCAGGGGACACCACGAGCAAGATTAGGCTGCATTCCTCTGAAGTGAGGAACTACTGTCATCCCTGCTTAACAAGTGAGCAAACCGAAGCATGCAGAGAGGAGCAGGCAGAGACGGGGAGCCCAGGGACCTGAACTCAGGCTGGCTGCAGGGGCTGGGCTGTTAACCCCACCAAGCTCTGTTCTTCAGAAACAAGAAGGGGTTTCTGAAAATCGTATATGCTTTCACAAATGCTGAGTAGGCTACTAATGATGAAGCCTTAGTAAAACAAACAAAAAAAGCACAGGACTTGACTAACTATAACCCAGGAACAGAACGTGACATGACCTGAACAGTAAGTGAAGTACAAGCAGATGAAGCAATGTAAGGATGTGCTGGCAGGTAAGTCAAGAAGAAGCGGGTCTGTGACTCGCCCACTGCCCAGGGCTGTGCACGGCGCCTGGCATTCCTCACCTCCAGGTAAGCTGACAGCGTCATGTAGATCTTCTCTCCGTAGGGCGTCACTCGGTTCAAGAGAAGGGAGTTATGCAGGGAGCTGTCCCACACAGCCTCAAAGCGGTAGAAGGTTCTACGGTCAGAGAGACGCGAGGAGTCACCCAAAAGTAGCTCAAGTGACTGCAGTCCAGCTGAGCCCCTCAGGGCTCCTCCAGGTCCCCACGAACGCTACTGCAGCCTCTACCAGGATCCCCACCCAGCAGGGAGCATCGCCCCTGGGGAAAACGGTGCCTCTCCATCCTCTTGCTGCTCCACATTAAAGAATATTCAGATGGATTAATTTGTTTTGGTAAATTTTTGATGAGCTTCTCTATGCCTATGAACGTAAGAATGGTAAACTCTGTCCAAGGGATTAGGATGAGAAGGACAGTGAGGTTGGACAGAAGGTATAAGAATGACCACGGCAAGTTTCCTTTCGGTCAACACTGAGAGCAGGAAGTCGGCAGGAGTCTGCACTGGAGCCTTCCTGCCGTCAGCCGCCTGGCGGCCCTCACCCAGCTCTGCTGAGCCTCAAACACCACACATGTCCATGGAGATGAATGCTGGAAACCTGGGGCAGAATTTAAGCCTAGGAGTCTTGATTTAAATACAGTGATAAGATAAACCAGGATTCTTAATTAATGTTTCAGTAAAAAAAAAAAAAAAGTGATTTTTTTAACACCAGACCCTGACAACTATCATTTGATAATTTCCAAGAAAAATTATTTGAAAACCAATCTTCTATTTAAATAACAACTAGAGGGACCAGCACAATGGCTGAACTGGTTAACCCTGTCTTTGAATGTTGGCAGCCCATATGGTTGCTGGTTCTAGTCCCAGATGCTCCACTTTCTACATGGCTGCCAGCTTGTGGCCTGGGAAAGCAGCAGAGGATGGCCCAAGTCCTTGAGACCCTGCACTCATGTGGGGGGCCTGGAAGAATATTCCTGGCTCCTGGCTTTGGATCAGCTTGGCTCTGAATGTCGCAGCCATCTGGAGTAAATGAGCGACAGAAGATCTTCCCCTCTCTGTCTCTGTAAGAACCACCTTCCCAATAAAAATAATTCAATCTTAAAAAAAAAGCATAGAATTATTTTAATAAAGTCCAACTGACTTTTCTGAACCATTATGATTAGTGTGGTTTGCTTTTGCCACTAGTAAAACACCACAGACCCTGCCATTCAACCACCCGGTGCAGCCAAGTGTCATCCGACACTAGCGAGTTAGGGAGTGGTGGCGCGATGACCCCCAGCTGCCAGCCCGTGCTTCCCTCCTCAGGGAAGGCACTTCCTTTAGCCAGCACCCCTGCTTGCTGCAGAGAGGGCTCACAAGACTGCCCGGAGCTCCTCACACAACACGTATGGCAACACCTCCGCACGGACCTTCCCACTGATGCTTTTCCTGCCTCGCCACGGCCCACAGCTGCCACATCCCCTCTCTCAACACATTCCTATGCTGCTTCTCCCAGAAGAACAACGGTCCATTTCTGAGCCGGAATGCTTCGGTCATACCTCACCTTCCAAGGGCCAGTGTACAGATCTGATCCTTTCCCTGCTGTCTTGTCCTCACAAATGGTACTTCCTTAAATGCCGCTTGCGGGCAGTGAGCATGGGCCAAGAAATTTTCCACAAAGGCATCAGAGGATACAGACTCAACCGGTGAGGCCGTCACCAAGCAACCCAAACAGCGATGGAAAGGAGGTGAGAGGAGTAAGAGGAAGCCTTTCCCTGGCTCCCTGCAGCCACAGCCCTGCTTAGGGCCAAACTTTACTGGTTGAAGACAAATGCTAATGCTGAGTGCCAGCGTGAGCTAGTATGGCAGCAGTCCCTGAGAACACGACCATTCTGAGAGCCTCCATCTTTGTCAGGAACCTGGAACGTGGCTGGCCTGTCTCACTGTAGCAGCTGGACATGGAAGTGAAGTGAGCCCTTTTTCTTCACATGGGTGGTGCTCTCCAATGTAAATCCCTCTCCCCATCCCTGTGCGCCATGAAGCTGCTCGCCCAACGTGAACACCATCATGGGCCACCACAGGCCACTGTTCGCAAACTGAGGCGGGAGCTTGGACTTGCATAGGAAACCTCTGCATATTTCTATCTTATGTTTTCATTAACTCAAAAAGTGCATGTCACAGATAGAAGCCTAGCTCACAGAAAGGAAACTCCGATTCCACTAAGACCATCCTGAAGGGGGCAGTGTTGTAGGATTGCAGGTTAAGTAGTTATGAGCCCCGGCTGCTCTAGTTCCAATCTAGCTTCCTGATAAGCACCTGGTGACCAGTGGAAGTTGGCCCAAGGTGGGCCTCTGTCACCCACCTGAGACCCTGGCGGAGTTCCAGGCTCCTGGCTCCAGGCTGGCCAAGAGCCGAATATGGTGGGCATTTGGAAAGTGAACCAGTAGATGAAAGATCTCTTTCTGCCTATCTCTCCCTCTTTCTCTCCGTGACTCTGCCTTGCAAACAAATAAAAGAAATCTAAAATAAAGTGAAATATTCCTGAATTGGAACAGCAAGCTTCCTGTCTGTCTTGCTGTGGAGCTGCTGCAGCGCTCTGCTGAGCAACTACCAGAAGCAGGGATTCTTAGTGGCAGGCGTAAGTCACACGGTGACCACACAGTGACCACACAGCGGGAAGTGCCCACTACACAAAGCTGCGTGGGGATTCAGGCCTGGCAGCGGAGCGAGCCCTCTGTGACACCTAAGCTGGCTAGAGAGAGAGGATTCCCCAGCATGAACCGAGCGGCAACTGCACCAGGGAAGCAAGAGGTCTCAGGGTGACTACTCTGAAGCAGACAGGCCCTGGGATTTGCTAACGGTGAATAATCTGAAGGACTCTGAGGTCATGCTAGCTGGACTCTGCAGTGAACCAAGTGGAGCTCGGATCAAGAAACAAAAGATGGATATGAAAATGTTAAATATGTCTTGACAATAGGATGCTGGACTTCCTACAACTGTATAATTATGTCATGATACACTTAAATAGCAGAATGACGGGCTTGCGACTGCTGCTCTTGCTACGGGAGAAAACAGTGGTGGGCGGAGGGTGGAAGGGGACACCCCTGGACCAATGGAACTGTATCATGAAACAAAAATTTTTTTAAAAAAGGCAATTGAAATAAAAAAGAATGAAATGTATTATATCAATAATATTCACCAAACACATAAATAGTCATACTTTTACTTACTGGAGTTTCTCCCTAAATCAGAGGCAGAGATGAGAAAAACTATATCTACCGCCAAAGCGGGGTTTTTTCTTTTCTACTTCAAAAGAAGAAAATCAATATAGAGGACAAACACTGACAGGACAAAGAGAAACTTAAACTATTTCTCACAGAGACTGCAACCTGAATTGGTTTTCACATCACAGGAAAAAGCAAAGAAAGTCAACGGTTATGCAAAGCTTCAGCGCGACAAGCCTTTTACACTCTTGACCAAGAGGGGGCAGACAAAGAAAAGAGAAAGCAAAGGAGAGGTTACTACCCGGGAGGCCTAGTAAGCGCGCGTGTTTCCTTCGTGGAAGGAGAGGATGATCTGGAATTGTAAGATCTCTTAAGAAGCCACATGTGAAGTCACACCCCCACGGGAACACGCCAGGGACACGGAGAAGACAGCCATCTCCCTCCAGTACAGGCTATGCTTTCTGGAAGGTGGGTACGGGCGACGGGCGCTAAGCTATCAAAGCAATGAAGACATAAAGCATTCTGATAAATTAGAATCTTTATGTGCAGAAACACACACAAAATACCTAGGAATATCCTTATCAAGAAAGAGCCTGCAAAAAACATAGAAAAGGCTTTTGTTAGTACAGTAAGAAATAAAACAGAGGGCGAGAAGGGTGAGGGAAAAGACGGGAAAAATAGATAAAAGAACAAATCTGCTAATAAGCGACACGAATTGAGACAGATAGCAGAGAGCTGCATGGGACAGTTTGCTAGAGGCGAACAACAACGTGGGCCTTTCCTCTGAGGCGTCCAGGTAAAGGAAACGCTGCCACAGAGGGCCACGTGGGTGCTCTGAGCCAAGCTGCCGCCTGTGACGCTGGATCACATGGGTGCCAGTTCAGGTCCCACTGCTCCACTTCTGATCCTGCTTCCTAGTAGACGGACCAGGAACTCAATGGGAAACAGCCCAAGCGACTGGGCTCCTGGCCCCGCAGGGAACAGCTCCTGCCTCCTGGCTTCAGCCTGGCCCAGCTCCCGCAGCTGCAGCCCTCTGGGGAGTGACTCAGACAATGCAAGATTTCTCCTTGGCTTTGTGTCTCTTTCTCTGCAATTCTGCCTTTCAAACAATAAATAAACTCTGGCTCTGCCCCATCCAGGCGTGTAGCGGATGAATCAAAGGACAGTATGATCACTCTCAAATACACTTCTTACAACATTAAATAGCTGTTAAGTTTAGGCAGACAAACATGAGAAAAAGAGGGGAATTTGGTGTAGCAGTGAAGCTGCCGTTTAAGTTTCAGTGGCTTTACACGGTAGCATCTGATGTCACAGTGCCTAGGCTTGAACCAGCTCTGCTTCTGACTGCAGCCTCCTGGTAACGTCCGTTACGGGCGGAGCAAGCAAAGGGCCACATGCTCAGGACCCTGCCACTCGTGTAAGTGCTGGATTGAGGGGGCTTCGGCATGGCTCAGCCTTGGCTATTTGCAGGCATTTGTGGAGTGAACCAGCAGATGGAAGAGCACAGCCTCTTCCTTTGTCTTTTAAATAACAATTATTTTTAAAAAGAAGAAAATGATAAAATGTTAATGATAAGTGATCAAAAGTTTATAAGATTTTTTTGACAAGCTTGTGGCTTATGGTTCACAAAACTGAAAACCAGATGGTGAATTATGGCTTAGGCTTTATAAGAAATGCAATCAGAATTCCCTACAATTACAGAAAAGGTCTTGGGTGTGTAACAAGATCTTAGGAAATGTGCACATGCTTAGTTGAAACTAAAATGAAAATGCTTAAGGTAACTATAATAATGTTTTTTTACTTCAGTCAACTTTCAGATGATTTGAATCTAACCTGTTGTTCAGCAGGAGAAGTTGCTCTGACAAAGCCAATCCATCTCTGGCAGCTCCTGGCCTGCTGCTGGGCACAGCCCAAGCCCAAGCCCCTGACCTGCAGCTGGGCATGGCCAAGCCCCTGGCCTGCTGCTGGGCATGGCCAAGCCCCTGGCCTGCTGCTGGGCATGGCCAAGCTCCTGGCTTGCTGCTGGGCATGGCCCAAGCCCCTGACCTGCTGCTGGGCATGGCCAAGCTCCTGGCCTGCTGCTGGGCACGACCCAAGCCCCTGGCCTGCTGCTGGGCGTAGTCAAAGGACATGTCACAGTCACCTGAGGCAGGCAGCCAGCAGTGTGACAAACACCAGCTTTCCCCATGTGTGATGCTAAACCACTCTAAAAGAAAATTTACGATAGATGTTTCTCATGAATTCCAGCTGAACACTGGCTTCAAATCTCTGTCAGAAGACAGCCACATGGAGTTGCTGTGGACCCTAAGAGATGGTTCCTGATGTTGCCCAGACACCCAAGTACCCCTCTTAACTCGGCCATTTACCTCCCCAGAGCGCACATCCTCTCAAACAAACAAACAAAAAAAAAGTAAATAAACAAAAAGACAAACAGAGGTTTGTTTTTCTCCTTCCTATGCAAAACTGTCATATAAGAGAAGAAATTAACCCTGGCCAGAATCAATTAAAAGTAAAAACTTAAAACAATTATTTATAGCAGCCCATCCTGGTCCCCTCAGACATAAATGGAAAGTCAGTAATCCCTGACAATGAGCCCACACTGGCAGCAGGAAGACCAAATGCCAGGGCCGCACTGGCACACTACAGGGCATGTTCCCGGGGCCCAAGGAGGTGGCCTTTCTCAGCGGCCACTGCCCAGGACAGCACTTCCTCTCAGCGACAAGCCCCCGGGTGGCATGCTGGGCTTTCTCAACACTCCACAGCAGACAGAACACTGTCTCTGCTTCTTTCCTTTCGGTTGGAGCTCAGGGCGGAGGGAAGACAGGTGGAATTCTGAGGTGAGAAGGGAGTTGCTTCCTCGGGGCACCTGGAGTCACTAACCAACAAGGAATGTGGAGTGCCCTGGCCTCCCCACTGGGGCAGACCCTGCACGCGCCTCAGAGCCCACCTGCTCGAGTTGTGGGAGGACTTCAGGTACTTGGCAGAGATGATGTTTAGGGAGAGGATGGCGTCCACGGCGGCCTCGTCCACCTCAGGCTTATTCCTAATCCGGCCTGCAGGAACAGATCAAGAACCAGGTATGAGCATTCTGTCTACAGATGCACAAACCCATGTGGCCCACGGTCCAATCTACAGGATCTCCATAAAGGTTTAAACTGAACAATACATATACCACTTATGACAATTATGCATTGCAGCATGGACTGCCAGCAGCACGGTGCCGCTCCTGAGGGTCGTGCTCCCCTCTGCTCTGCAGCCTGCAGCAGCCAGGCATGTGACGGGCTTCCCTGCTGTGCTGCCAGCTGACCCTCACTCACCTAACAGACAGTTCCAAAGCCACTGGCTCTAGCTCATCGTGCAGCTGCTTTCAGACCGAGCCTAGGGAGACGGCACTGTGCAAGGGGACACGGGACTATTTTGCCACCTGGCACAGGGGCCCAATCCCCCGGGTCTGTTTCCTCACCTGTGATGTGAGGACTAAACCTCCCAGAGCATTCAGAAAAGCCTCTGGTGCAGAGCAAACACTGTCTGACAGTATGTAAGTAAAGTAACAGCCAGATCTCGGAGGGTTCTGCAGAGAAGCCCAGGCCACACTGCCTCTGCATCCCCCAAGCTTCTCTTCAGCTTTGTAGATTAGTGCCCCCTATAAAACGAAACTTGGAAACAGCCTGAAAACCACCCAGGCAGGAGTGGTCTCCTTGCTGGGGTCAGTTGTCCACTGAGCCACAAGAAATCTGTGCACAGTACTCCAGGGCCCCCGAGCTGATGGGGAGAATGACGTCTTTATTTTCACAAACCTTAACTGAAAGCTGGCATTTCCTTTCTCATTAAGGAAAGCAGTAAACCACAGGCAAGAGCAGGAACCCACGCCTCCACATCGGGCAGAAACCACAGAGGTTTACCCGTCACAAGAAGGTAAAGTCTATTTATCACCACTTTGAAGTAATGGCAACTGGACCTACTGTTGGGGCTTGCTACTTATTGCACCAATGCAGGAGAGCTTACATTGCAAATCTGATATTTTGACAACTGTTCTTCAATATTGCTAGCTTCTTTTATTGTCTCACTTGATTTTCTATATCTTAGAACATATTCTGAGGTCTCCCCACCCCCAGGGGTGTCGAAGAAACAAGGGGCTCTGATCCTGCCCCCCGTTTTAAGGCTCACACAACTTAGCTAGTAGGCTGGCCAGAGACTTGTACACACAAAGTTGGGTAAGATCAAAGCCTACTCATTTCTCTCAAACCTATGCAGACTCTTTCCCCAAAAGTTAACCCAGTGTTCACGGATCACTCTTGTTACCTTGAGCCTTTTCGCCTGATCTTTTGGCGTAATTCCTCAAATTACTTTGCACACAAATGCCATCTTCGTCTCTGCCACTGAACAGCAAGCTCCTAAAGGCCCCTCAGCCTCGGGCACAGACCTCCACAGGAATGAAGCTAGAGACCATGCAGCTTCCAACTCCAGGCCTCCACCTTCATGCTCTTTACTCCCAGCCCTGGCTGTCCTCCCACAGGGACTCAGCCTCTCAGGGGGGCTCCTCCGCAGGGACGGACTCACCCACCACCAGCTCCCGGACATCCTTCCAGTGCAGCTCACTCCCCTTCTCGTGGATGATGGTCACGGTGATCCTCCGCTGGATACCCTAGAGGACGGGGCAGGACTGCAAGTCAGCACTAACCAGCTATCATTTCCCTTTGCTGGTTGCTTTCTGGATTGTACAGTGTGGGGGTGGGAGGCAGCACTGTGGCACAACAGGTAAAGCTTCTCCCTGCAATGCTGGCATCCCATATGGGTGCTTGTTCCAGTTCTGTCCACTCCATTGTTGAACCAGTTTCCTATTACATACCTGGGGAAGCAGCAGAGGATGGCCCAACTCCTTGGGTCCCTGCACCAACATGGGAGACCCAGAAGATTCTGCTCCAGGGAGGTTCCTAACTTTAGACCCTCCCAGCTCTGGTGTTTGGTCATTTGAGGAGTAAGCTAACAGATAAAAGAATTCTCCACCTCTCTCTCACTAATATTTCAAATAAATAAATATTTTTCAAGGGGGGGAAAGAAGTCATGATCTGAGGAAGAATTGAAGTCTGACACAGGTTCAGGTTACACACCAAGACTGAATACCCCGAAGGGTGGGAACCTGAGCGCCACCTCTGCCTGGGGCAGGATCCCTTCCGAGCATTGACAGACTGAACTCGGATTTCCCACCCTGGGACCTACATCTCAAACCAGAGCTCAGGACACCGGAAGCATTATCTTTTACCCCCAACTAATAAGAGCTTCCGACTGAAAGCAAAGAGCTTCCAGAAAATCAGGAAAAATATAATAAAAAAATGATATAGAGCTGTACACATGGTAGTAATTAAGTGAAACAAACTATTTTTCAAAAGTTATTCCTAAACATATTTAAACACAGAAGCAAGGTAGGTCTGAACCATGGTCTAGGGGGAAACCAATAACACACATATAGCAGCAGCTGCTGTGGCACAGTGGGCTAAACTACTGCTAGGGACACCCACATCCCATATCAGAGTGCCTAACTGGAGTCCGAAGGATGCCATGCCTCCGATCTAGGTTTGCTAATGGACTGGGAAGGCAGCAGCTGACAGCCTAGCATACTGGGGAGACAGTGGATGACAACCTAGCCTATTCTATACTCTTTTTGGTACTCCCTCCTATGTGCTAGTTTGTCCCCATCTTAGTACCTGGTGAAGCAAAAACGTTCCTTGGCAGGGCAAGCCGGCTGTGTGGTCAACCACAGCTGGGAGGTACCTACATAAACAGAGATGCAAAAAGACAGCAGTGAGCGACTTCACCCGCCACGCCCTGCAGCCCTGGGCTCTGTGCTTCTCCACACTCTGAGCACAGGCCTTCCTCTGGTAGCCTGGCCCTTCTCAGCACGTCCGCGCCTCATCATCCTCACCTGACTCACGTGCTCAGGCCCGAGACCCTGATTTGCAATTCCACTCCAGCTCCTAACAGAGCAACTACTCAATAAACAGTGTGTAACTGCAGTGGCAATTGGCAGGAGAGAAGAAACAGAGACAATTTCAGAGTCCAGACAGTTTTGTGGTTTATTTTTTTAGGATTCAGACAATTAATTCAGTGGAAGCCACTGCTGTAATTACTGCGTCATCATAATGCAAGTTATCTAATTAGTTATCCTATTACAGACAGCTACACACAGGATGTGTGTGTCACGCCGTGCCGGGCAGCCCCTGGCGATGACACTAGCAGGGGCTCTGGGGCTGCACACACTTACCTGCCGCCCCTCACACCACTGAGACTATTGAGCTGCTTGCTCAGGAGCGGCTCCTTTTTCTCTGTGTTTCTCCAAAAGCATGGCAGAGACGGTGATAGCGATACGCACATGAAGCACGCGCAGTAACACCACAGCTCACAGGGAGAAGTGAGCTGCTGTCGACCACTGGGATCTACAACTCCAAGAGAACATCTGGTCTGTCGGGAGACATCTGTGGTGGCCACACTTGCAAGGCTTTTGCAAATGAAAGAGCCGGCAGAGCAGGAGGCAGCTCCAGCCTCATTCCAACCAGGAACACGAACTCAAAAACAGGGCTGAGGGGCAGAGCTCTGGTCCGGGGGGGGACACTCTGCTTCCTCCTGAAGGCTGCACTCCATCCTGCGCCACCTGCTCTCCTGTTCTGATCAAATCATGCGGGTGGGTGTGAGACAAAGTGCAGCATGATCTTGCTCTTGCTGTTGCTAACAGGAGAGCAAATTTTTATACCATGCTAGCTGGTTCTCTAACAAACATCTAATTTAAAGCAAAATATGAAGATCACCAAAATTGAATTCAAAACTGGAATTTGACATGGCAAAAGATTCATGAACCCAAACACGACACTTAGTCAGCATTTTAGCCCAGTACTGAACCACTCTGGCTCATTTAAGAACGTAGAGAGGCTTGGTGACACAGGGGGGTCAGTGCTGCCTGAGACAGAAGGCCACCTCGGGTCTCTGTCGCTCCCACTCCCATCACTGGAATGAGCCTGGGAGATAACATATGGTCCGAGCGCCTGGGGAAGTTTGAGAGTGCATTGGTAGATGAACTGATCTTTTCTCATTCACATACTTACACAGCCTAATAAATAAATACATCTTTAATAAAAATTTAAAAAAAAACATAGAAAGTTGGACTTACTCTCCCGTAGGCTCCAGTTCACTGATCTCGAACCAAACCAGAAGATCATACTTGCTCATGCTCTGGCCAAAGCTGGTTTTGCTCATGGTGTTTAACTTGGTAGCTGGAACTTTTAAAGATTTTAGAAAATTTCAAAATCTGGTCCAAGTTTACTTAGCAAAAGTATAAGCTTTTCTAATGTCAACTTTCACGGAGGCACTTGGGAAAGCAGCAAGTTGGGGACAGGTCTCAACGTGGGAGACACAGGGAAACCTCCACATGAGCTGCCCCGGTACCTTCGCCTTCGAGGAAAGCCAAGAGCCAACTCTCATTTCCCTCTCCGCACACTGCCTCCAGAGATGAGAACACAGAGTGTCCCATCTAAACGGTTCCCTGCTGGCCCTCCCAGGCTGTGGCGTGTGAGAGACCATGCCTGGGAAGTGCCTGGTAGAGCCTCACACAGCACAAGCCCGTGGCGGCCCGCAGACCTCGCCTCCAGCCCTCTGTGCACGTGACAGGTACCAAAGCCCAGGCCACACTCCAGAGAGTCTGATCACAAACTCAAGTGGCAGGACACACTCGGCAGTTTCCCAGGTGATTCCCAAGTACACACAAATTTGGGAACCGGGTGTCAGATTGATAAGCAAGAGTCAGGACACGACCTTCTGGTATACATCTTCTTTTTCAGATTTAAAATCCACATTAATCAGCTGCTATGTGACTTCGTGTGTTCAATCCCTGTGACCTGTCTCCTCATTCCTGCGATGTGGATTAGTACATGCAGCCTGCGGTCTCAAAGATCCACTAACATCACACAGGTGATGGGCTTCATAAATCTTACACCACATTCAACAGTATGGTAGCATTCGCTCGAGCTGCATGCCACCTCAGCTAGTGATGCCAGGGGAGAGGAAAATAGTGTCACCATTTCTGGTAGATGTCTGAGGGTCAGAGGGCAAAGTCAGGAGTATTAGGAACCAAACCCCAACAAAACCAGCTACTAGTAGAATATCTTCAAAATTAAAATAATGTGACAAAGAATTCAGACAGACACGCAAAGCGCCTCACCCGTGGGTTGACGTGACAGTGGTCCAAGTAGAGAAACACCTCTGCAGGAAATGGGGTGCAACCTAGCAGTGTGCTACGCTACAATCAGCTCAACGAGCGAGACGCGAGCCGGGTCTTGGCACAAGCCCCCAGGGCTGGATCTACATCTAAGAGCCAGGTGAACTACTAACCATCTCGTTTGGGCACCCTCTCGCTCTGGCAGCTTGGAACTGGCACAAAGAGAAAAGGCGGCAGTGGGTCAGCCTCATTCTGGAAGGTGGCAACGGCGGAGGAGGCAAGCACGCTGGCGTGCTCAGAAAATGTGTCCAACACACGCACAGTCACATAGCCAGACACGAGAAACCGAATGAGCTCCATCTTTCTTTCATGGTCTGAAGGCAGATGGAGGTGAGGAATCCCGAGGGCGGAGAGCGAGCATAGGGTGGGGTGGGAATTTGGGCCATGAGGGAAAGGGGTAGAAATAAACAAAGAGAAAGCAAAACAAGGTAACTGAAGAGGAACGAGCTCTGGCGTTCTCTGCCCAGCAGGGCCATCACAGTGAACAGTGACGCATCACTTCTAGAGAATATTCCGGATGTCCTTTCCACAACGAAATGGAGATTGTTCAAGGAGATGGGGATGTGCTTACCCTCAGGCATACATGTGTAACATCCGACTGCACCTCATAAACACGTCCAACCGAGATGCATAAGTCGCACATACACACACGCACACGAGCACTGGCTACACTGGGGGTCTGGTTCCTCTGCTTCCTGCCCAGCCCCTGCTAAGGCACCTGGGGAAGCAGTGGAAGAAGGCCCAGGCGCTTGCGTTCCTGCCACTCATATGGGAGAACAGCCCAAGCTCTAGGATTGACCTGGCCCGCCCCTAGCCATTGTGGAGTAAGTTAATGGATTGAGGATCTCTGTATGTCTCTCTCTTCTCCGTGTTACTAGGTCTTTCAAGTAATAAATCTTTTTTTTTTTTTTAAGATTTCATTTATTTTTATTGCAGTCAGAGACACAGAGAGGAGAGACAGAGAGGAAGATTTTCCGTCCAATGATTCACTCCCCAAGTGAGCACAACGGCCGGTGCTGCGCTGATCTGAAGTCGGGAACCAGGAACTTCCTTCAGGTCTTCCACACAGGTGCAGGGCCCCAAGGCTTTGGGCTGTCCTCGACTGTTTTCCCAGACCACAAGCAGGGAGCTGGATGGGAAATGGAGCTGCCAGGACCAGAAATGGCACCCATATGGGATCCTAGCACATTCAAGGCGAGGACTTTAGTTGCTAGGCTACCGTGCTGGGCCCAAATCTTTCAAAAAAAGAAACTAAGAAGAGCAAAGTAAAAGTTTAAAAAAGATAATTGAATATGTAGAGTAAATATAATCTGGAAATTAAAAAAAAAAACCAACAAAACCCTATCATTGACAGGGCAGAGTCTTTAGGGCAATCAGCAAAAGCTGCAATGAGACGCTCAGAGGACTGGCAGACACAGCCCCACTAGCTGGGCTTTCTAGCAGGAGCTGAAACTACTAGTATTTTTGTGATGTATGTAAGAAGAGCAGGAATATAAGGAGTCTTCAAAAAGTTTGTGGAAATGTGTATTAGAAGAAAATGACATGCATTTCAAAATCTGTGGTACTAAAATAAATATCGGGCCCGGCACAATAGTCCTCGCCTTGCATGCACCGGGATCCCATATGGGTGACTGTTCTAATCCTGGCAGCTCCACTTCCCATCCAGCTCCCTGCTTGTGGCCTGGAAAGCAGTCGAGGACGGTCCAAAGCCTTGGGACCCTGCACCTGTGTGGGAGACCTGGAAGATGTTCCTGGCTCCTGGCTTTGGATTGGCTCAGCTACAGCCATTGCAGTCACTTGGGGAGTGAATCAACAGATGGAAGATCTTCCTTTCTGTCTTTCCTCCTCTCTGTATATCTGTCTTTCCAATAAAAAATAGACAAATCTTTTTTTAAAAAAATCTCTTAAGATTAAAAAAAATTATTTGTTCGAAAGGCCAAGACAGACAGCAAGAGAGAAACAGGCCAAGAGAGCTTCGGCTTCTGTCCCCGATTCATGCTCCAAGCGCTTGTAAGAGGCAGGGACAGGTCAAGCCGAATCCAGCAGAGCACAAGGCATGCTGTGTCTCCACATGAGCACCCGAGTCATCCCTGCCACTTTCCAGCTGCGCACCAGGAGGAACTAGAACTGGACTTGGAGCCAGGACTTCAACACAGGCAGCACTCCAGCCATATTAACCCCTTTCAAGATTCTCAGAGCTGGGGCTGGAATGAGCAAGTCCAGCCTCTGTCTGCTCCGCTGAGGATTCTGTTCCTGCTGATGGATTACAAAAAGCAGCGAAGGATGGTTCAAGGTTCTGGGTCCTTGCCACCCACGTGGGAGACCTGGGTGACACTCCTGGCTTCAACCTGGCCCAGCACTGGCTGTTGCAGCCATCTAGGGAATGAATTAGTGGATGGAAGATCTCTTGGTGTTTCCCTCTCTGTAACTCTTTTAAAACAAATGTTTAAAAATCTCAATGCTATCGGTATTTACTTTTAAATCTCTAGTTATGAGCCCTCCCTCCTGCTAGTTACTGCCCAAATGCCTGCAGCGATTCCTGGCTGGCGGACTAAGCCAGTAGTCAAAGGAGCTGAACCGGGCATCCCACATTTGCAGAACCACCACTGCCTCCCAGGATCTGCATCAACACGAGGCTGCAGTCGAGGGCCCGAGCCAGAGCTCAGAGCCAGGCACTCCGGCAGGAATGCAGCCTCTTAACCTCCAGGACAAACAACCCCCAACATTTATCTTTTCCGTTTTCCATGAGCTTTCTGAAGCTCTCTGGAGTCAGGCTATGCAGCAAAGAAGTGGGTGTGCACGCACAGTTGCAGGTGTGTGCACAGGGAACACATCTATCATATAAGGAACGTATGCAGTACTCACCTGGCTTGGAGAGCGGCATAGGTGGAGGGAAGAATCGGCGAGATGGCTGAGGGGGGCTGCAAGGAATGGCAGAGAATTTTCCTTAGCACATTAAAAAAAAAAGCAGATGTTGATATTAATGGCAAGTTTAAATTGCCTTTAAGAGAAGAGACTGCCTGCATTTTTAACTCTGGAATAGTGTATCAGATACTAGACACGGTCTATACAATCTAACAGACTGAAAGGTTTTGATAAGTCCTTTTTCTATTTATTTATTTATATTTTATTTAAAAGGAATAGAGATGGGAAAAAATTTCCCCCTGGCTTATTTTCCCATGCCCCAAACAGCTGGGCCAGGGCGAGGCTGCGACCGGGCGTCTGGATCTCCACCTGGGTTTCCAGAGCCCCAAGTCCTGAGCCACCACCTGATGCCTGCAGGCGACTCACCAGCAAGAAGCTGGGACCAGACGCTGAGCAGAGTTCTCAATACGGGATGTGATATACCAAGTGGTGTCTTCATCACGACGCCAAACACCTACCCATCCTCCTCAGCTTTGATGAATCCACTCAGAGCTTCCCAAAGTTGTGGTCATGAATAACAACTACACACAACCTTCATGGCATCGCCTTAGGGCCTCAACCTTCTACCTGATTTGGTCCTTCCCACAAAATAATGGTATTAAAGGTTGCCTGGGGAAAATTCAATTTTCTCTATCTAATCTGAGTGGTTAGGAGGCTAGAGAAAGGTGGTGAAATTTCTAAAGAGGAAATATAGGGCAACACATAAAACCATTACCTAAGTTCTGTTAATCCTTTCCAGTAAGTGAGGAACTAAAAATCAACAGTAATAACAACAAAAATCTTTGCCATCTGGTCCAAACCTGTTAAGGTCTTGTCCTTGCAGATGGGGCGGATGCTGCTGATAATGGCCAAAGACTTCAAATACAATTGGCTTGGTTTTGATATAGTCCACAAAGGATTCCGTGACCTCCACTGCAATCTAAGCAGAATGCCCAAAGGAAAGCTTTGTTAAGAGTGTGAACATTTTTGTTTCAATCATAACGTCAGCGTGGCTGACCACCAATACGTGCGGGGCATTTTGCCACACAGCCCTCAGGCACCGAGAGGTCGAAGCTTCCCTCTGGTGTTCACTCCGAAGTCACCCACCCCGCTCCTCACCCGGCCCCACTGACCCAGGCCTCTTCTGCGGTCACTCGGCACACGTGCCGCTCCTTCTGTTAGGTCACACTGCAGCCCAGCCCGGAAGGCCGTTCCGTAAAGACATCCATGCACCTGAGCCATTTGTATATTTCATAGCAACAAGAAAAACAAGTACTGACTGTGGACTATGGGCCAGGTACAATGTCAACTGCAATGCATCTTTTCTTACTAACACAACCTCCTCCGAAAGCTCCCATCTCCCTTCTACATTCACTTTTGTCCCCAGCAAAAACAATAAGCTTAAAGTCTCTTTCCATATGGAAGTAACATTCCCTTTCTCCATGCCCACAGCATCTGGGTCCTTCCCTTTTCTCACGTCTTCTCTTCTCTGTTGATTACGTATGGAGTTTAATCCACCATCATCTTTCTAGCTTCCTTGGGGGCATCTGAGTCCCTGGCATTCCCCAAGGTGTCAGGAAGACCTTGGTGAGCGCTTGCCGTGGATATGCAAGCTCATATTGAGCATGCTTTGTGCTTGCTCAAGTCGCGGTGCTGACGTTTGCTCTCTTTGTGCAGTGAGAGAACAGGTGACCCTTTCACACAGCACTGAACATCCTGGCTCCCAAGCCCGTCTCTGCATCTTCCCAGCTTTGTAACTCTAAATGCTCCATGCTCACTTACCCCAGCTGTGACAGAGATGATGAGTGTCTATAGTATAAAGGTGACAACTAAATTACATAAAAATGCTCAGAACAGTGACACTAAATAAACCTCAGTGATATGAATGATGACTTCTGAATAGTTTGAGTGAGACAGAAGGTTACTTCCTTATTCTAGGATGAGGACAGCTGGGAGGGCACTGATGGGCTCATTACAGCATCACTCTCTAGAGCCCGAGGTATTTACTGCAATCTCATCATGGAAGCATTTGAGGCCTTAAAGGACAATGCAATGTTAGCAAAACTCATATTAAATATGTTTTTGTTTAAAAAAAAAAACCAGAAACATAAAAACTATTCCCTTAACTCAAGCTGCCGAGCGAGTTTACCAGCAGGGCCCTGGCCCACCATGACCCAGAGAAGGCTGGCGGCTCATTCTTGGAGAATTACCTCCCAGCTCTGGCTACTCCCTCTATTGGCCATCCTGGCCCCGATCTCCCCCAACACAGAAAATTCCTGGGGCCTCACAGAATGTACCCTCTTAACTCACTCAAAACCTAATTACCACACACCCTCCGGTGGGTTTGGCAAAAACAGCCCTGTGACTTACATTCTGCACATGATAAAAGCCCAAGGGACTTCCTCTGCCATTGTTTTTGAGGGGTTCCGTGGAGAACGCTTCATCATGGCGGTGTAAAAAGCTTTATAAAAAAGAAGACATGAGAACAACGTGAGATGGTTTACCAGATCTGTTCCAACGAGAGGAGTCTGACTGAAGCAGATTCTTCTAAACTATTTACTTTTCCTTGTCAAGAACATTATATAGTGTCACGCATTTTAGACTCTTGGAAGATTTATCTTATTTAAAAGGCAGAGTGAGAAAGACAAAGGGAAACATACACAAAAGAGAGAACTGATTTCGCCCCTGCTGCTTCCGCTCCCCAAGTCACAATGGCAAGGGACGGGTCAGGTCGAAAGCAGGAGTGTGAACTCAAACGTGATGTGTGCGGGCAGCACGGCCTCAGACACGTGGGCCAGGCCCGGAGCTGGCACTCTGATCTGAAATGCTGCCCTAACCTGCTACGTGATGACACTGACTCCAGCTCTTAGTATAAAGGGCTGGGAAACCTGACCGTTGCTTAGCTGCGCGCGTGTATACACAAGAAGGCCTTAAACAGTTGCGAAGTAAATTCAACTGGAGTCCGGTGCTAAATCCTTGCCTTGCATGCCCCGGGATCCTGAATGGGCGCCGTTTCATATCCCAGCTGCCCCACTTCCCATCCTGCTCCCTGCTTGTGGCTTGGGAAAGCAATCAAAGATGGCCCAAAGCCTTTGGACCTTGCACTTGTGTGGGAGACCCATAAGAAGCTCCAACCATTGTGGCCACTTGGGGAGTGAACCAGTGGACAGATCTTTCTCTTTGTCTCTCCTGTTCTCTGTATATCTGCCTTTCCAAATAAATAAATAAATAAATAAATAAATTTAAAAAATCTTTTTATTTATTCTTTCTTTTTCCATATAGACTGGGACTTCCCCCTCTAACTTGCACTCCCCGGCAGATTTTCCCCATTTTACTACAATGGTGTAGTCCTTCATAAGGAATCATAATTCCATCAGTCTCTTATTTAAGTGTACCCCAACACTGCTGGTACAGACAGTGTCAGACAGTCCAGCATCCCCTTGTTTACACGTTTCCAACAGTTTCATTGGGAATCCATCTTTCACCTGGAAGCAGGGATGCAGGTTGCATTATACCCCCACATCTGGATATGATAGACCCCAGTACCCCATCACTATACATTTCCATAATTGAGAAGCCATGAAACAAGGTCAACAACTGGTATGAGTTAGAACAACAGCCAATAAATAAATCTTTATTTAAAAAAAGGGCAAATTCCACATTTTTTTGTGGGAACTGCATCTTCCGTTAGCCTGAGAGGGCTGTTTCTCACAGCACTGGGAAGCTAGTTTCGCTCAACATCAATGACTCCCTTGCTTTTGGCAGCAAGTTCACATGGCTGGCTTCCTAACAAACAGCAACCGTCTTCCCTCAGGCTTACTCAGGAAAGACTTCAGAAGGGCCTTCTGGACTGACAGGCTATGTGGACTATCAGAGAGACTTGTACTGTTTGCTCTCCTTCCTTGTTCACAGCAGAGGGAAAAAAAATCCAATAGGAAGATTTACTGCCAGACACAAACTTTAAGAAGTTTGTACACAAATGCAACTGAAAGGTAAATTTAGGGGCTGGTGTTGTGGCATAACAGGCTAAGCCTCTGCCTGTGACACCAGCATCCCATGTGGGCATTGGTTCAAGTCCCGGCTGCTCTACTTCTGATCCAGCTCCCTGCTAATGTACCAGGGAAAGCAGCAGCGGACAGCCCAAGGACTGCGGTTGCCTCATCCATGTGGGAAACCTGGTCCTGGTTCAACCTTGTAGCCATTTGGGGAGTGAATCAATAGATGGAAGATCTCTTTATCTCTTCCTCTTGTTCTCTGCTTTTCAAATAAAATGATTGTTAAAAGCTAAATTTATTAATGGTACAAAAGAATTTTGAAATTTACGCAGTTTTATCAAAACACACATTTTCCATTAGCTTTATAAAGAACCTTGCTATTCTGAGAGACGCAAGGGAGGGGGAACTGTTTGTGTGGAAGAGAGACCACAGCAGCGTGAACCCCGTGGCTCCACTGAGCCTGGGGACAGAGGCACACAGTCCCCTGTGCTCCTGGTCGTGGGTCCCACACACGGCTGGTGCTGCGGGCTCTGTATTACACACATCCTTCTCATTTCCTTCTTTCTCATCTCTCCTTCCAGCTGTATCTTTCCTCCTCACTGTCCTTGTGACCGTGGGCATTAGTGCACACCTGGCCTATACAGTCCTCTCTGCTCTGCCACTGCGGCAGGCACGAACAGCCTGGAGTCCTACTCAGGCACACACACGTGGGAGTTCATAAAAAATATGAAGCAGATGTTTCTAAGTGTGTTTATCAGCAAGACCTCCCTCATCTGCTGGTTCACACTCCAAAGGCTCCCCCCACCCCGCCGGGCAGAAGCCAGAAACTGGGAACTCGGTCCAGGTCTCTCACATGGCTGGCAAGAACCCACGCACTGGCACTGCCCCTCTGCCTCCCACAGTCTGCACTAGCAGGAGCTGGTGTTGTCAAAGCCAGGCCCTGATCGGACGTGGCTGTCTGTGCCAGCGTCCCGGCTGCTAGGCCAGGTCTCCCCTCAGGGGGATTGAGTCTTTCTGTAAGTTCACACGTCCTTTCGTCCAAATCTAACACAAAGCGGGGAAGTCGTTCTCAGGAGACACGAGAACACAAGTCAAATCACTATTAGCAGACATCAGTAATCAAGCACGACTTTTCTAATAACTCCTATCAGTTGTCCAAACACAACAGCAAAAAGTTCCAAAAAATGAATTCACTTCGCCAACTCCACCCTTCCCTAAACTTGGGGCTGTTGGCAAGAACACACTAAACAGAGGAAGTCACTATTGATGGAAGGATTTCAACAGTTGGGAGTTGTGACAAATGGCATCAGTGGCTTCTCTGAGTGATCACATTTAATTCAGGATGTAACTAAAACCTGCATGACAGCATTGCTGTGTAAACCGCTCAGGAAGGCCGAGGCCGGGCAGAGAGGGCTTTGGCACGAAGCTAGAAGCTTCCCTCTGGCACGGCTGCCCTTTCCCAGTATGGGAAAGACACTAGGATATGTGAAGCTATTCAAACTGAGGATCTGTGAAAGCCCCTTCGGCAGAGGGGGCCCGAGGGGCAGAGAAGCAGCAGTTCCCAAGGGGACGAAGGCTAGCCACACCTCTAGCGAGCAGCTCTGCTCTGAGGGTGCGGGACTTGATTCTTCATGTTCTGTAGACGCTCCTTTCCCCAGGAGTGAGCAAACAGGCTTAACTGCTGGCCACACGATTCACTGCTTTTAGATGTATGAGTCAGACCTTGCCGCCTGTCTTTGTTTCAGGGCATTCAGAAGACAGGCGTGTCTGGCTGGGAGGCTCTGCTCCTGCGGGAAGGGGCGGGCCACAACACAGCCCTCTAGCAGGATGCGGGCACACTGCCCCCCAAGACCTGCCCTCATCCCAATGGAGCCTCTTGTTAGTATTCTGGCCTCTCCCTCAGCAAACGGGAGTCTGTCGTCCCCACGCCTGTCGGCAGCCCACAGGTATGGAGCACAGCAAGGCAGCGGCTTACTTGAACTGGCAGAAGATGTCCGCATACTCGGGGAGGATGCCGCTGGCCTGCAGCACCGTCACACGGAAAGTGAAGGCGCTGCCCAGTTTTAGGTGGGTGCCGATCTCGTCAGAAAACCCTTCCATGACCATCTTGCCATCCAGCAGAGTGCCTGACTTCAAATCTAAAAAGGAACAAATGAACACACAAATGGTTCAAATAGTGCAAAGAGGAGCGTCACTTCTCTTTCCCTTCACGATAGTTACAAACTACGGCCCTTGGCAGCATCGCTATCTTTCCCGTCTCCCCACACCCCAGACCACAGGGCCCTCTGCCCACGTACCCAAGTCATTCATTCGATTCATTTCTTCTGGAGGTGTGATGACCTCAGAGCTCTGACCTTGGCCTTCGACAATCCTCAGCTCCTCCAAGGACAGACCGGAACGTGTCATGGCCACAGAAGAAAAGTCACTCTGAGGACACGACAGGGAGGGCACATGAGACAGCAGCCTACAGATGCACTTTCCCTCAATTTCTTTACTTCTACATGCCTGGCCAAGGAAATAACAGTGACTGCAAAATTAGGCAAAGTAACAGCTGCCTGGGAAGACACAGTACAGTGAAGTACAGAGGCTGGCTTGACTACTGTAGAGGCAGGGAGGCCGGGCTTGACTACTGTGGCAGCAGGGAGGCCTGGGGCCTGACTACTGTAGAGGCGGGGAGGCCAGGCCTGACTACTGTAGTGGCAGGTTGTTCTTTCTGAAGATTTCTCACCTGATTAAAGTCCTCGTTGTCAAAAGATATCTTAGCGGTTCCTGACTGTCGAATTCCTGAGCCATAATCAGGAGCTTCTTCATCCGCTAAACCGGAAAAAGTGATAAGAATCAAATGAGACCTCATGTGGAAAGATCTTACTGGATGATAAGGCAAACACAAGTCTCTTTGCATAAGAAGAAAAGGCGACTCTGCCGCTGGAGCTTTACTGACCGCCTTAGCTCAAATGAGACCTTGTGAGGCAGTTTACACGGCATACGCAGGCATGCTGACCGTTCCCTGCTTGGGCCAGTACACTCAGTATTTGCACATGTTCCATCGGACCGTGGGAAAGACCTCTACAGACGGTAGTGCGGTGACCGTGGCACGGGTTTCCATGGAGCAAAGGCCAAAGGTCACCACAGGGACAGCACGGTGTTTGAAACGGCCACGTTCTTTCCCCAGACACAGGCTGGAGCATGCAGAAGTGGAAAAGAACAGCATTTTGATCAATGTATTAAAAAAATAGTAGCTTAAAAATGGCACAGTGGCCTAGCAGCTAAAGTCCTTGCCTTGAATGCACCAGGATCCCACATGGGCACTGGTTCTAATCCCAGCAGCTCCACTTCCCATCTAGCTCCCTGCCTGTGGCCTGGGAAAGCAGTCAAGGACGGCCCAAAGCCTTGGGACCCTGCACCCGCGTGGGAGACCCAGAAGAAGGTCCTGGTTCCTGACTTTGGATTGGTTCAGCTCTGGCTGTTGCGGTCACTTGGGGAGTGAATGAGAGGACTCTTCTCTATGTATCAAACTTTGCAATAAAAATGATTTATTTTTATTTAATCTTAAAAGAAAATGTCAATTAGAAGTACCCAGAGGGGGAAAAATTAGGCAGGAAAAAGTCTTGAAAACCTTTTTTTTTTCACTTCCAAAGTAGTTAAAATGCCAATGTGTTTTACAAAGTTGATCTAGTCATGCTTAAGACAGTCTCTAACTCACTATTTCAGTGTCAGCAGGTGAGTAAGCCGACTCTGCGATCAGTGAGAACAGCAGCTGCGACAGAAGCACCACGGCCTCCCTCACGCCACGCAAACCTGCCGCCAAGTGTGGGCTCAGAGCAGTGTGGCCTCGCACAACTGGCCTGCTCGGCTCATCTCCAGTGAGAACTGCAACGCTTGCTTCAGCAGAAGGGCACCCACCTGCAATGGCCTGCACAGCCACACGTAGGAAGCCCCGGACTTCACCCTTCTCACTGACGATGGCCACTCGGTGGATCAGGGGCACAGGATAGAGCAGGTTGCTGAGGTACACAAATGCCCTGGAGACAGAGACCGAGACCACCATCAGAGCGCCCACCGAGAGGGAAGCCCACCCAGCTTCACTGAAAACACCTTCCTGCAACTGAGCTGACGCCTGGGCCCTCAGGTCACTCTTGCTTCTGTGCTCTTCTGCAGCACAGGCACCAGATGAACAGATGCCAACCTTTGGCACAATGTTGACAAAGACCAACTTACACCAAGTGCCTCTACAGGAGTGAGGCTTGCAGGGAGAAGAGTAACAACTGGAAGTAGATTTTCAAGACAATGTGTCTTGACAACTGCTGCCATGTTGGGGAGCCCACTCGGGAGTTTAAAGAGAGGTTTTCTAAGGAAGTTCTGTTTCATTTTTCCCAGTAGAGAAAACAGAAATCAGGAGACAGGCAGGAACGTGTGACTCGAATACAGCAAATAATTCCAAATTCCATCCCAGCATTCCAGGTCTCCATTCCACTCACAGGAAAGGGAGACATTATCTCCAGGCCTGGTGGCTGACAGAGTGAGGAAAGCAGACACTCACGGTGGAGGCTGCGCAGCCAGAACTTCTGAGCTGCAAGCATACAGAACACTGGGTGGGCACCAAGATGAACAGTCGAGGGGAAAGGCAGCGGATGATCCCTAGAGGGTTTGCTTTTGTTCCTACAGTACAAACCCTAATTCAAAAATCATTTTTGAAAAAAAAGTTATGTCACATGTCACCCTCCATATATCATCAAACTACCAAAGTCCTATCATATTTTTTTCTGCTTTCATGATTTTGCTCCTAGTGATTTTTTTCTTAAGCAACAGAAACTGGTAATCACAAAGCTTGGGAATGTTCACTGCAACTGGCAGACATGGAATAGAATCTAGTTCCTGCTGTTACTCCTGTCTTCCCACCGGTATATGCTGATCTTTGAACACAAGACAAAAGACAAAGAATGAACACTTGCATCAGGAAATCAAACACAACTAAACGTGCCACACATGCCTGCCTGCGCCGTTCTTGCTCTGAAATCTACTCTAAAACAAAGACAGAAGAAAGAAGAGTGGATGGAGGGACTTCAACTCAAAGTAATGAAAATAATTCTGAAAACAGACAAAATGCGACACAGAAAAAACCAAATGTTAATAAAACTTTTATGGCGTAAATGAAATATGAATGAAAGTTACAACGAAAATAATTGCCAGAGAACACCCAAGCAGGTCGTGATGCCTGCTTCCCTTTCAGTCTGTGCCAAAGCAGGCTAGAAGGCCACGCTACAAAATGGAGGGCACCAGCGTCCAGGCCCCCAATGCTAAAATGAATGTTCTCCTAAAAAGGACGACAAATAATACCATCAAACACCAACTGTCCAAGTTTGAAAGACCAAGATTGTGGTGTAAGGTATAGTTTTACTTTCAACACAGGTGTGGACCGCCTTCTCCTTTGAAGGGCATTCAGTCCAATCTGCCCTCTTTCACCGCCTGGGCCAGTGAAAGCTCCCGGCCTGGAGCGCTCTGCACTCAATGCCACCTCCTGGCTTCAGAGTTCCCATCCGCGGGTGTCATCTGAAACCCCACCATGACAGGCCGCAGGAGGCAAGATTTCAGCAGCTCACAGCACTCATCATGGCTATAACTTGTCATGACTCGTGATCATTTAGTCCTGTGTTACCCACCAAAGTGCAGGCAGGAACTGTGTCTGGCTTTGCTTACCACCGTTTGTAGAGGGCTTGGCATAATGTACTTAATAAACAGCTAGTGTGTGAATAACCATGTACACAAAAAAGCACAAAAATGGTGTATTCTCGAACTTTACATAGAAGTGGAAGATAGCCCAGAAAAAAAGCTTGGGTTACTTCAGAGGCAATGAATAGTAATGCTTATTTTTTTCAAAACCATACTCATGGTGGTTCTCACCTACATGGAACATGTTTAGATTCTTTAACTGTACTTAATTTGTTACCTTTAAAACAGCTTTTCAGAAGCAGAAGTGTTATTTAAATCGTTACAGTAAAGGACGTTCTGAGAGCAAAGATATGAATTTCCTTTCTGGCTGTGGCAAGGGCTGCTCCGAACGTGAAAGTACTAAAGATATTACTGCAGACAGTCCCTTCTGAGAAAAGGAAATTCTGCAATTCCATGGCAAGACCACAGGAGCATTCTCTGTGTCTACACAATGACAGCTTCGGCGGGCAGCTCCTGTCGTGTTCACAAAAGAAGCCTAGCCCCAAATCAATGCTTGGAAAAGTTCTCTTCTGCAGCTTTTTAAACTGGAATTTTCATATTTTCTGTATCTGAGTCCTGAGGTTTTGATCTAGCAGACTGAAGGAGAACAGGGATGGGGGGAGAAGATGTGAGGACATATTAGCAGGAAATTCGGTGAGGTTACACCAAAAAGAGAAACAAATTTGTCAACATAAAGGTATGAGAAATCAGTATGATCATGGGGAGACTCAGAGAAAGAATGTCAGTTCAGATACCTAAGAGGTCACGGAATTACATCCTTTGTCCCCTTTCTACCCAGAAGGCTAGCTTAAACATTTTACATTCATCCCCCAAAATGGTAGATGGTCCACAATATCCCAGCATGCCATTAAGAGAACAGCTAAAGGGACAAGCTCTTTTAGAGTACATGTAAAGATTCGCCAGAGGCAGCCATAGCCCAGAAACCTACAAACAGGATTTCCTAAGAAACTAGACATTTTTACAGGCAAATATATTTGAAATTATGTGCCAAGAGGAGGGGTCCAATGAGGTGAGTCACATAGGCAGCAAGGAAGTCGTTTCTGTTAGACCACTGCACAACCGGGCAATGCTGCATTATTGTCAATTTTATTTGTGGGGGAGAAATATGGCCAAGGGCAAAACTGGATCAGTAGCCTTCATTTTACTGACTGTCATGATTTCACTTCCTTCCCCAGTCTTTCATGCAAATGAAGTCAGTTCTAGAACCTGGAAATTCAAATACATGGAAAGGCCAGCTCCTGAAATTGCTCCATAGGTGTGCTGTGTGCAAGTCAAGGTAGACTCAATCTCATGCATTTGCTATCTGACACAACTACAATGGGCATGGTTAGAACACAGCACGTATTTCCCATGCCGGTTACTGCCCACACTGCGCAGGACTCCTGACTCCAGTCTCCACATGACGAATTCAAACAAAAACACTTCTGAGAAGTCCTATGCAGGATCTTCACCTCGCTAAGCTTCCTCTCCCACTCTTCCTTTCACAACTGAACTAAGAGTCCCTGAGCCAAACGGGTGTCAGAGATGGTCCAGGACCCGAGGCTCTTCCAGACAATGAGGTTGGGGCGCTACACAAGAGAAAGCTGCCTCCTGCTCCCTGGGTTGGCGCACAACATCCCAATGGCTTCAGGGGCTGCTGACCAGGAGCTGCAAACAGGCTTATGGCCAGAAACTTGCACAACTTCCAATCCTCTCGGAAAAAAAAAGGATGGGAATGTGCTGTCGGACATACACAGCTCTGAAATAAAGTATCATTTATTGTCCCATTGAGTGTAGACATCTTGATTTTTAATACAAATTAATTTTCTTGAAATTGTAAACCTTTCTTCCTGATGATACACCAGTAGAGAATAATGCTCATTGCTATATAATCCTTTCATTCATAGAAACACCAAATTCTAAACATCTCTTGCCACTATAAAACTCAGAGTCTCCACAGTATTGTGAGTCTGTTATGACTTAGGCCTTTGATCAGGAACCGTTTCTTCTTACCCCTTTCCAAGGTGGTGATCACCTTTCATTATTTATAAAATTCCCCTGACCAGATGACCAACATCAAATTATAAGCTAACATTTAGAATCTAAATCCCTGCTGGGACAGGAGACTGCAGGCGCTTTAATTTTTAGGTAACTGATGTTCATCCAGGCAACACTGACACAACTCTCTTATTTTTAAAAGACCTAAAAATATGTGATTTTTGGGCCCGGCACAGTAGCCTAGCAACTAAAGTTCTCACCTAAAACGTGCCTCAGGTTCCCATTCGGGTGCTGGTTCTAATCCCAGCGGCCCAGCTTCCCATCCAGCTCCCTGCTTGTGGCCTGGGAAAGCAGTAGAGGACAGCACAAAATTTTGGGACCCTGCACCCACATGGGAGACCCAGAAGAGGCTCTGGGCTCTTGGTTTCAGACTGGCTCAGCTCTGGCCACTGCGGTCACTTGAGGAATGAATCAACAGATGAAGATCTTCCTCTCTGCCTCTTCTCTTCTCTTCTCTGTATATCTGACTTTGCAATAAAAATAAACAAATCATTAAAAAATATGTGATTTTTCTAATGCACAATTAAATTTAATACTGTGAAACCTGGATATACTTTTTGGTTAATCCAGCCACTGCTCTACTATTGAACTTGTAAGTGAAATTCCTGCAGTGTGAAGACTGGTCGCAGACAAAGACGGCAGTCTTTGGAACAGGGGCCTGGCGAGGCCTGCATCACTGCAGATGGACATACAGACTGAAGGCCAGACAATGCCCCAATTTGGTGACCCAAGCTCAACACAAAGCACTTTCATGCAGTACTGAACAAATATTCATTGTTGAAAGTATCAATAGATCATTTTTTTGAGATTCATCATTATAAAGCCTATAGGTGAAATTTTAGCAGAATCCAGAGTCCTAAAGCTAGGCGTCATGGACCTAGCCAGAGGAAGGCAGCCATGTCAGACCAAGAGGAGATCTGGCTTGCTTGCTTTGTCTTGGGATTCGGCAGATTAAGCAAACAGTAACCCCAACCCCATGGCTGACTCCACTCTGTTCTGACTCCTCAGGAGTCACAAGCTCCGAGTCTGGCCTTGGCCTTGGTCTTGCTCTGCCTGCTTTCTCACACCATCCCCATTTGCTTCCTCAGTGACATTCTTCTGGAAAGGAGACATTTAGACCACAACACCACCACTGGACTCATTATGTTCAACTCTTAGCTTTAATTTCTCCTTTAGAATTTTCTTCTTGAGAACAAATTTACCCGGCTATTTAGGACATGGAATCTTCCATGTAGTTCTCATAGCCTGGTGGATGTTTGCACAAAACAGACTGGGCCTTCACACACAATGTCCCCGTCAGCATTCATGGAAAGCTGAAGCAAGGTTACCAAAATCGCACAGAGGCCTTTAGAGCAAGAGCTGGTCCCTTTTAGCCTTTCTCACAAGAACCTCACCAACCTTCCCACTAAAATGAACCAAGGGGATCGGTCGTAAAACGGGTCATGCCCGTCACTGAAGAGGTCGGACCCCTCCTCCGTCCCTGCGTCAGAGCCGGTGTCATCCACGAACGCCTCCTCATCAAAATCCTCCATCTCATCTTGCTGCTCGTCAGCCAGCTCAGTGATGTCGGAATCGGCCGTGGAAAAAGTAGGGGAGGGTGTGCGGTCAGCAAGGCGCTCATTCACACAGCCGTGGAAAATGGGGGAGCTAGACACCAGGCGAGACGCCAATTAACACAGCCAAGGAGAGAGGAATAGTTGGTTAAAAGAGAAGCTGCACGTGCCAACAGGACAGAATCCACTGTGAGAATTAACACAGTAAAAGCAATTGAGAAAGCAAAAGGATCAAATCAGCTTAAATCATCAGAATCAGGTAAAAGGCAATGGGGAAATCTGAAAAGGTTCTACAATGATGCATCCTTAGGACAAGAAAAGTAAAGGAGATCTGGTAAATCTCATACCGTAAAGCATTCGTATTCTCTAGTTCATACAACAGGTCAGCTTCCAGACCTCAGAAGTATCAATTTAAACACTAACACAAAATAACTGTTCTTTATGCATTTATTTAAATTCTTCCATCATCTTGGAGCAGAAAAAAAAATGGATGGGGGCTGTCACTGTGGCACAGTGGGTAAAAACCACTGTTTGCAAGAACAACATCCCATGTGGATGCTGGCTTGAGTTCTGGAAGTTCCACTTCCCATTCAGGTTCCTGCTAATGGCCTGGAAAGCAGCAGAGGATGGCCCATGCCCCTCATGTGGGGACACATGGAAGATGCTCCTGGCTTCAGCCTGGCTCAGCTCTGGCCATTGTGGTCATCTGGGGAGTGAACCAGTGGATGGAAGATCTGTGTTACTCCCTCTCTAATAAACAAGCAAATCTTTCAAAAAAGAAAAGAGATGGTATAGCCTAGAGCAGACATGGCTGGCCAATTCATCTTAAAAAAAAAAAACAAACCAATACAGGGACCAGCATTATGGTAGAGCGGGTTACGATGCCCTCTGTGATGGCCACTTTCCATGTCAGAGTACAGGATGATTCTTGGCTACTTGGCTTCCAACCCAGTGTCCTTAACACCTCGGGGCAGCAGCAGATGGTGATTCAATTACTTGGACCCTCCCACTCACATGGGAGACCTGGCTAAGGCCTTGGCCTGGCTCAGCCCTGGTTAATGCAACCATTTAAGAAGTGAATGGAAGATCTCTTTGTTTCCATCTCTGTCACTATGGCTTTCCAATAAGCAAAAAATCTTATCAAATAAATAAATAAATAGTAAGTTAGTATGGTGACACAGTAGATTAAGTTGCCACTGGGCAGCATCAGCACCCTGTACTGACTGTTGGAGTTACGGCTGCCCCACTTCCCATCCAGCTCCCTGCTAATGTGTCTGGGAAAGCAGCAGGGAAGGGCCAGGAGCTTGGATCTCTGCTACCTACACGGGCGGCCAGGATGGAGTTTTAGGCTCCTGGCTTTAACCTGTTCCAGCCTCAGCCACTGGGGCTGTCTGTGAGGTGAACCGGTAGATGGAATATTTCTCTCTCTCTCTTCATTTCTTCTCTCCCTTTTAAGTAAACAACTAAACCTTTAAAAAACTTAAAAGCTTTCAGAATGGTGTGAAAAAGACATACTACATCTTTACAAAATATTGAATATTGACTGCAGTAACTTTTTTCCTATTTATTAGTATAATCTGAACTCACTGCGAGAGAGCAGACAGAGGCAGACCAGCTAGAAGCTGACTACTGTGCTAAATTCAGCTACTTATCCATCCCTTTAGAGATCAAAAGGTTTCTGCAACTGAAAATCTCCCTGCCTTTTTTTTTTTTTTTAATCTCTCTGCTTTAGAAAAGTCGAAACCTCTGGGCCTGGTGCAGTAGCCTAGTCCTTGCCTTGAACACGCCGGGATCCCATATGGGCACCCGTTCTAATCCCAACAGCCCTGTTTCCCATCCAGCTCTGTGCTTGTGGTCTGGGAAAGCAGTCAAGGATGGCCCAAAGCCTTGGGACCCTGTACCCACGTGGGAGATCTGGAAGAGGCTCCTGGCTTCAAATTGGCTCAACTTTGGCTGTTGTGGCCACTTGGGGAGTGAACCAACAGCTGGAAGATCTGTCTCCCTATGTCTCCTTCTCTCTGTAAATCTATCTTTCCAATAAAAATAAATAAATCTTAAAAAAAAAAGAACAAGAACAAATCAGATCACGTCAAGATTGCAGTCTGATAAGGCAATACTATGATTTCAACCTGCAAGATGCTGATACAAGTTTCCTTTCTCTTCTAAATCTACTTCCATCAGCTGTAAAGCCTTTTGTTCATGAGCAAGATGCGTGAGCCAGGGAGGATGGGCAGGACCTTTGGTTGAAGATCGGAACGACATGCTTGCTGAGAGACTCTGAGGGAGTCTACGCCACGTGACCCAGCTTCATCTATGTTGATCATACCTGGGACCGATTCATCACCCTCTTCTCTCTTACAGCTTCCTATAATACCTGAGCTTTTAGACTCTTAAACTGAACATATCCATTATTTAAAAAGGAGGCATCAACAGAACTGTCACGTACCTTCCCACAAGTTTGAACCAATGGAATCGGTCATAGAAAGGATCGCGGCCAGTCATTGTGGTCTCATTGCCTTCCTGGGCGTTGGAGGCCGTCTCCCCCGCCCTGTCATACATTTCTCGCATCAGATCCAGCCTCTGCCTGTTCAGTAAGCACACAGTGCATTTGGTTAATGCCACGAACTTGTAATAAGCTCTTGTTTAGAATGTGTTTTCCATACCAAATTTTCTTCCTAAAAGAACCTGTTCCCTGGAGCATGCCCTACATCGGGGATCTGGGATGGGTGGGAGACTGGGTGGGGCTTCTCCCTTTATCTTCCCCTCTTACTCCAGATAGAAAAATAATGTAGAAACAATAGTCTTACCCACTTTCCTGTAGCCCTTGACCCTTTGTGCCCTAATCAACTATGTAAAGATTATCAAAATAAAGTAATTACAAAAAAAAAAAAGAACCTGCTCCCTCCATTTAATATTATTAAAAAGAACGGAGGCCAAAAGTGGAGGCTCTAAAATGCCCAGGAATTAAAGCATCAGGGACTACAGACAGGTGACTAAGAGACCAGAATGGGCACCTGCACTCTCCTAGCTGACTCGAAGAAAAGACAGCGTGTAACACCGCAGGCACACCGACACACTGGGAATCGCCTCCCCAGATGGAATGTCAAGGAAGACAGTCTGCAACTTCTTCCTCTATTACTGGTCACTGTGAGGTCCAGGACCGAAAATCTGAGTAATTTCTAGAGCTAACATCATGGAACTGGAACATTTAAAATGTAACAGGGTCAATGAAGAGTAAATTTAAATATCTACCAATTTCAAAAGTGTTTGAGGAGTTGAATTTGTTCACTTAAAATATGTGGATGAATGCTACTACCCCCAGCCAGCAATGGCAATCTGGAAACCACAGAAGAGAAAGCCCAGTGTCTGCAGAGGGCCGAGCTGAAGGGAATCCACTCGAGCCTTGCACTCCAAGACCCAGATGGAACACTCAGCCAGGACGAGGACGGGCATACTTGAGCTTCTCCAGGGACCAATAGTGTGTGGCTCCGTTCTTGAGATCCTGGACTTCCACAGCCACCACTGTGCGGGGAAAAGGTCTGTGCTCGTGAGCTCTGTCCGTCTCGGTGGGAAGTAAGTCAGGGGGCAGAGGGGAGTACAGCGTGTCCGTCAGCAGGACAAACTGAAACTGCACCTGAGTGGAAAGAATAAACCACCAGTGAGTGGCTGCCAGCAGAAAGGTTTCAAGACCAGCTCATGCCATCATGCCCCATGGGAAGGGTAGCCAAACTGTTCTAAGAGCTCAACAGCCTGTGCCTAGTTGCGGGGAAAGAAAGGTCATCTATATAGTAATCATAGGGAACAAGCTGAATTTCATATTAAACTGTTCACAGACTTTGTTTTCCTAACAATCTCAATAAGTATACTTTGGCCATCTAAATGAAGACCTTTGCAGGACTTATGCAACAGCCTGTAAGGTGGACCAGGAGTGGGTCTCTAGTCACTCACCAATGAGATGATGAACACATTCTGGGTTTCCCATCTGAAATACCAAGCGTTCCAAGCACTGCTCTGAAAAGGGGCTCCTATCTGAGCAGCACCTTCATGCATCCTGCCACCTTCTCCTCTCTACTATCCTGCATTCTCACCAACAACTATTCATAAAATGCGAGGCACAGAGGTAGGAAAATGAGAAGGGTTACTGAAATTATGAATGAAAAGGCATCTCCAGCTCAGAGAGCCAGAGCACAGGTCCAGGAGGACACTCTGCCCACAGGCAGGCAGACTGTGCTTAGCCTCGCACAATGGTGCTTGCCTCTGTGTCGCCAGTCAACAGGCTGCTTGTCACAGGGACACAGAGAAGGAGGATTCAACAGCCGCATGCGCAGCTGTGGTACAATTACAAGAGCAGGTAATGTCTACCGTCATTGACCTGGCCCAGGCACTATTCTAGGTACTTGCTGAGTCGTATTCATTCTTTCACCCAGCTACCACCACCCTCCCTACCCTGCCAGGTGGCAGGTCCTATGTAAGCCCTTTCATAGGGGGAATGGAGGCCTGTGGCTGGCCAGAACATATGGACCTGTCCACCATGTGATGGGTTCCTCAGGCCCTACCAAGAGGAGCCAATCTGTGGCAAGGGCAGGCACAGGACTTGCAGAGGCAAGCTTCATGGGAGAAAACCAAATGAAAATTGAGTTTGCTTTGTTCCTACAGAAACTCAAGAAAGGCATTCTTTTGCCAATATTCCTCTCTAGTTCTCATCATCTCATCAGAAATAAGTCTCCTCATTTATAAAAACAGAAAATGTCTACATGCAAAATATTTAGAAGATAAAAATGTAATTAGTGTTCCCTACGTTCTGGGCAGACACAAGAGGCTCTCCCCTGGCAGCCGAGTTCTCCCAGGGGAGACCCAGGTCCATGAGAGAGCCTGGATGAACCCACAGCAGACAAAGTTGTGTCTCCCTACCACCCATACCTTCTTCTTCAATTCCACACTGATGGCGTTGGCCTCCTTCAGGTACACGGCATTGCCCCAGAGTAAGTCCCTTAATGAAGTAAACTGGTGAGACTTCCACTTCCGGAAGGCCCACTGGGCCAACTCAAATTCATGCTGCGTCCAAGCAACTGAAAGGACACAGGGGGTAGATTAGTGAGGCTCCCACATCGCCCTCCTCTACCCTCGGCATTTTCACATCAAGGGACTTCTCCAGCTTCTTCTTCATGCAGCTGCTTGTTTTCCTTCTTTTTTGCCATTTGAGATTTTATTTATTTATTTATTTGAAAATCAGAGTTGCAGAAAGATGGGTGCAACAGTCAATGCTACACAGGGCAAAGCTAGGAGCTGCATCCGGGTCTCTCACAGGGTGGCAGAGGCCCATACGCTTCGGACACCGTCTCCTGCTTTTCCCACGAGCAAAGTGGATCCAAAGTGAAGCAGGTGGAACACAAAATGGTGCCCCCACGGGGATGCCAGAGTCACAGAAGGCAGCTGAGCCCACAACACTCTCATCTGCCCGTTTTGCTTTTATTTTTCTTCCATTTTAAAGGTTCATGACATTTTGTTGGCCTTACGAAGATAGTATACAGATTTCAGAAAATCTTTTAAAAAGTCCTACTTATTTTAAACAGGCTATCACAGAAATACATTTTCTCTTTTTCTTAAGGCTATAATTTTAATGAATGGTTTTATTTAACAGTAGCCCCCATCCTTTGTAGGCTGTATAGTTTGGTATATTTCTGTTTTTCTTCTAGTAAAAAAGAAAAAAGGTCATGGATCCGTCAGATATTTCAAAACAAAGAACCTGGGGTCAGTTATTGTGATGTAGCAGGTCAAGCTACCACTTGGGACATGTGCATCCCATAATGGCACGTTGGTTTTAGTCCCAGCTACTCTTTCTTCCAATCCAGCTTCCTGCTAAGGCATCTGGGGAAGCTAATGCATCTTGACAACTCAAATACGTGGCCCTGTCACCACCTGGGTGAATCAGATGGAGTTCCTGGCTCCTGGCTTCAGCTAGGCCTGTTTGTGGGCATTTAGGGAGTGAACTAGTAGATGCTATTCTTTCAAATAGATGAAATAAGATGAATAAACATTTATGAAGAAGAAAACAATGTGATACACAAATTATGATTTCCTTCAAAGTTGATCTAAAGTCTTGAGACTACCGAAAAAGTGTGGTAAGAGCACTAAATTATAAACTAAAAACAAGGAAAGCCCCAACTCAGCTAAGAACTAAGTTTTATAATTAGAAAATTGCCCAAAAGCACCCCAGTGGCACATTCTAAAGTCCTCATCATGAGGGACTCTGATACACACCAGCAAACTGAACAGACTGGCTCAGAGATCCAGCTCCGCTCTGCTTTGGAACACGGGTGCACTTTGTTTTACAGTAATTTAACATGGTGCATGTAAACTTTCCAGGTGACCCACACGAAGACCGTGCTCAGAAAACTTGGGAGGTTCCAAGGAACGTATCCACCTCACCCCCACCTCACAGCACAGAACCTGGAGTTTCAGCACCAACTGCCTTTCAAACCTTATTTCACTGGTCACTAAAAATGAAGGGCCAGCTTTGTTCACAGAATAAACAACAAATCTGAAAATGAGGACCCAGAAGATACATAAGAACGTTGCAGTCTCTAGAGTTCACCTTCTTCCTCTTCCTCTTCTTCTTCTGTTGTCTCTGCAGTCAGGGACCGGGTCTCCACCTGCTTCTGCAAGGCCTGCAATTTACTTTCATAGTCCTGAATAAAAAGAAAGGAGATGCCATGTAGCAGAGAAAGGAACTAAGAGGGAGAAAACAGAAGTGAGAGGACTAGGGAAGGAAGGAGAGAAAAAACAAAGATGGAGAATGAGAAGGGGTGGAAAAACCATGGTGAGAGGACAGAATGTAGAGAAATGCTCAGGAGAAAAACACAAGAGCTCACGTCACAGCACGGACTGGGTGAAAGGCGAGGAAACCTGCTCTTAACTGCAGTCTGTCCAGCCGCTCAGTGTTCTTTAAGCGGCATTGTGGACAGAGAAGGGGAGGGGAAGGAGAAAAGGGCATGCCTTTCAAGCATGAGAAATACTTCAGTCATACAGTCCACACTGAAGAGTTCACAGTGAGACAACACTGGGAAAGGTGAGATCCTCAACAAAAATTAGGAGTGTAGACTCTGCAGCACTCCGTGGTCAACTGACCAGCTCTGCAGAGGAACAGTGAACTGGTGAGGACAGCCTCCGGGAACTGAGAGCTTCTGATGCTACTACGAGTGACATAATTCTAGATTCCATGTGGTTACGTCAGGCGAGATTGGTGGAGTATTAACTCCCTATCTAACAGAAGGACCAACAGATGAACTACCTCAAAACACCTGAAAGCCTTCTTAAATTCCAACACACTATCAAAATAACAGGTAATGTTTCTTAAAAATTATGTTGTAAGCATATCCACCATCCAGATTTGGTTTCTAAACAGCATTTGCCACTGAAGGGACCCAGGGTTCCTTGGAAAAATGAACAATGCCCCAGTTCAGAGCCAGGAAGGGGCAAGGTGAGCAGAGAATAGCCTCTGGCAGAAAAGATAGCAGAGGTCATTTCTAAAGGTCACAGGGTCCCACTGGCCGAGAGAAGTACGTCAGCAAAGCACAAAGCACAATTCAGTAAAACAAGAACCCATGAGCCCACAGTGACAAAAGGAGAGAATAGAGAAACCTCTTCTTTCTAAGCCAGGCAATCAATGAAAATGACAACTGAGAAATCACACTTAAACATCTACAAGCCCTGATGTGGAAGCTAAGTCAGGCAAGGATCATTTTTTAAAAATACTAAATTAATCAAGTGAAAACTAGATGTAAAATGGAATATTCAAATGATCCAAAGTCTACCCAGACACCTATAAATAAGGACAATAATACGTTTACAAGGAAGAGAGTGGTAATCTTCACATTAACTACATTTATTAAACTTCAACATTGTCAACAAGACAAATTCATGTGTTTTATATATCAATGTGATTCAATGGAAAATACTCAAGGTCACCTTTACAGCATTCTTAACAAAACATTTAATCTAACGCTGAGGAAACAATGACACCAAGGTGGCCTACAGTGTTTAAAAATATCAACGTAGTAAGATTTAAAATTTCAGAGAAGGAACATTTAGTCTAGCAGTTAAGATGGCGGTTAGGACAGTGAAGTGCCTGGATTTTCACCCCATCTCCTGGGACGCGGCAGAGATGGCTCAAGGGGTTGGTCTTCAGCACTCAATGTGAGAGCTGGGTTGAGTTTCCAATTCCAGCACCCCTGTGCTCCCACACACACCAACCACTGTGTATCAAAGGAAGTGTACCAAGGATGGGAATGCTCCCTCTCCTCAGCAATAAAAACGATTTTAGCAAAAATTAATTAAATATGATGCATTAACTTCAAATCGATCTTAGATTAAATTCTAATTGAAAAAAAAAGATTTTAAAAATTCATTTGAAAGGCAGAGTACCAGAGAGAAGAAAGGAAAGAGAAAAACAGATCTTCCATCCACTTCTTCTCTCCCCAAATGTTCACAATGGTTGGTTCAGGGTCAGCCATATGCCATGTGCCAGAACTCCATCTGCGTCTCCCATGTGGGCAGCAGAGATCAAATCTTTGTGCCATCCTCTGTTACTTTCCCATTGGTATTAGCAGGGAGCTGGATTTGAAGCAAAGTACATATGGGAAGCTAGGTAACAGTATAGCAGGCACTGGCTTTGCTCATTGTACCACAAGACTGTACCTTTCCTATACTACGACCAAAAAATTGAGATAATAAGATAAACTTGAAGTGGGTTGTATGTTATATACTGTATTTTATATGGATGGGAAAATGATATTGAAGATAATTCCTGATTTTAGGCATGTAGGGCTAAAATGTCATAATGTGTTAACGTCAAGTGGCTTAAAAATACAGTAAATCTGGATATATAAATGTTCATTTCACTATTCTTTGAAATGTCTCAAATAGGAGAGGGTGATTTTTTTCTCTCTAAGAAGCTCTATATTGTCTGGGTTTCTTTCAGTAAAAATAGAAAAGGCTGTTGATTTACTTAAAAATCACCAAGTGGTAAACACACTAGTATTACATGAGAGGATTTCTTCAAGAGAAAATCGACAAGCTGGTCCAACTACTGAAGAAAACAAAGCTTTATACTCTGATCTGTTCAGGAATGAGGCTTAAAGCTTAGACTGCCCTTTAATGGCAATAAAATTAACCTAAGAATTCCCAACACCAGAGAGCCTAAAAACCGGGACTGCATTTTAACCAGCAACAGACAGTCCAACTATCAACACCATCTCCAGTTCTGATCCTCTTCTAACAGGAGCTTTCAACAGGACATTCATTATTTCCCCAGAAAAATAAGATTTTCTTTCAAATCATGCATGCTCAGACACATACTGCTCTATTCATTTGGTGGGTGAAAACCTAGATAATTTGCAACCATGCTAACAAAATAATCCTATTTTTCAGCTGTCATTTATATTTCCAAAAAGTCCATATTCAACACACACACCATGTTTATAAAGGCACAGCACTAACTGTTCCCTCATCTGCAATATTCTCTCCTTGACACCCATTTTTGTCCTTAGATCTGTTTTGTGTATCTATTCCTCATGTGACCAGGCTTATCCCAATATTATCAAGAATGGGGAGTAGGGAAGAATGGGAGTGAGCAAGAGGGAATCCAAAGGTACAGAACAAGCTCTCAGGGAGCCGTTGTCTGAAAAGGAAGGAGAAATGGAATGGCAGGTCAAAGGAAATGCGGGGCTTTTTTGAAATTGCTGAAGTGAACATGTGTGTCACCTGTGCATGTAATGCAAGCAACGATCCACAAGGAAGGAGACTGATGATGTGAACAAGGGTCAATGTCCAGTAAGGTCTCTGATCAGGCATGGGGTGCAGGCTGGCGGGCCTGGACCATGGACAGCTCATCCACTGCAGGAGCGCTGTAGTGGAGTGTGTGGACAACCACAAGTGAGGAAGAAAGGGAATTTCCTTCTGTGAGATTCTTACTTCCTCAGTGAAACACAAAGATCATCCAGCAGTTGGGAAGAGGCACCTTTGCTTCCCAGAGGTGCCGGTCAACACCTTTCCGGGCATCCTGTACCCCCCAACCTGCACCCCAGGGTGTTTATCACAAGCATCCTGAAGCATGCAGTTATCTGAGTAACAACATCTCTGTCATTCACCACTGGTCTCCAGCAGCTGGCCCACATCTGTCCTCCAGATCAGATCCTCAGTCACAGCAACAATTCTCAAAAGTGAGTACTTGCTTTTACTAGATCAGATTGGATCCAGCCACACCCTGCTATTGTAAATACAACTGATCCCAACACAGTCATCCTGTTCGTTTGCATAAGTTCTATGGCTGCCTTCCTGCCAAGCAGCAACAGTGGAGCTTACCAGCTGTGACAGAAACCAGAGGCTGAAAAGCCTGAGCTATTTACCCTCTACCTTTTTATAGAAAACTGTCAACCCCATGTCTTGGTCAGTGGCTCTCCAAGGTGGTGGCTGCACTAACAGCAACAGTACCACCTGGGAACTTTGCAGAGATACATTTAATGATGAGGTTTCCTCCCAGATTTTTAGTGAGTCAGAAACTCCCACAGCCTGAAGACTCATCAGATGTCTAGGGGATTCTGAGGCAAACTGCAGTTTTCAGAATCATTCTTCCGGGTTCTAGGTATGTAGATAAATGGTGAAAGAAATAAGACAGATGAGGTGCTTGTTCTAGATAAGTTTACATTCTCACAGAAGAACCAAATAAGCATATAACAGGTGAGTACAGGTTATGGTTGTTAAAACAATGGGAGCAGCAGGGAGAGTGGCACGGAGAGCTCATTCTGACAGAAGAACTATGCATGATGGGAAAGAGTTCCAGTCTTGAGGAAGAGCAAGAGAACCAAGGTGGAAACAAACTTAGCATGTGTGGGGAATAAAGACCAGAGTGTCTGTGGTGTGAGTCAGAGAGGTCAAAACAGGGATAGCCCCGAAGCCTACCCTAAGATCCAGGTGTATACGTTTGTGGGGAGCCCTTCAGGCCTCTGAGAGCTATCATTTATGTTTTTAAGACAATGTTGGGTGCTAGGCAGATAAAGGATTATGGGGATCAAGAACAGAGGCAAACGTAAGTCAGGCTACTGCAGCAGTCCAGGTGAGAGCCGACAGGGGCAGAATCAAGGCACCGTGAGCAGTTAAAAACCAATGTGACAGTTCAGTTTTCAGGCTAAGCCATTTGGACATTAGTCATGGCTCTCAATGGCAGATTGTAATTAGCAAGTAACAGGTGGGAGGATAGCCACACTCAAGATGGCAGCCAAGTTCTTGTCAACATCTCAATGGGGCTTCTCGTTACCAGCAGCCAACTGTGTGGCCCTAGTCTCTCCCCCTCCAGTGGTCCCAACACCTATTCGGAGACCCCTGAATCAAGACTTGTGGTCTTCCCATTTCAGCCACAATCCAAGCAAGAGCCTTTACATAGCAAGTTTGTCCCACCCACAAACTTGTTGATTCTACTTCCCAATACTCTCATCAGGGTCATTCCCTCTTCTGTTTCTCCCACCTCCGGCAGTCGCCAGTTTGGAAAGGTACTGTTGAACGTTTGTTTCAAAGAGAAACCTCTCAACTGGCACCTTTGGCTCCGAATTTGCCTCCATGCAATCTATGCTCTGTATTTTGGGCAAAGTGAACTTTGTAAAAGGTGAGTGTCACAATGCAACCTCCCGATTTA